GATCAGCAGCAATATCATGGTAGTTTCTGTCAAGCCCTGCACGAGTAAGCATATGAGATATGATTCTTGTTCGCGCTCCATGATTTTTTGCCCAACGTTGTCTAGCAGAAATTGCTTTGAATTTGTGAGGTTAACAATTCCAGTAAGACGACGAGCAGCATCACCATTTATCGTCTGCTCTAGCGTTAAATCCACAGGAATTCGTGAGAAAGGCTTGCTGGTTCTTCTGATTCCAAACGAACCCTTAGCCATTTCAGATCGGAGGCCTGGATCATTGGATGTGTGTTATCTACATGTTGCAGTAAATTTATGTAGTAGGTACACTAGCCATCGACTATAGTTTGGTTGATTGTAATAGAAGAATAAGCTGACGATTTTCGCAATGGTATATATGTACAATTCTAAATCTCCAACTCTAATACTTTTAATGAATAAGTGGTAAAGATTTATAAAATCAATGTACATTGCGTAAAATTGCGCCGTTCTTCCGTGCTTGCCGTCTAATGAGTCTTTTGTGTATTCTTCATAAGATTGAATGAGACGTTGTGTTTCTGCATGATGAACTTGAGGAGAGACATCTTCATGAGCAAAAAATGTGGTAAGATATTCGAACACTGATTCGTCAACTGTCAATTGTTTTTTTTCCAAAAATGCTTCGAAATGTAATTGTTGCAACGCCACGAGAGAATGCAACCGTTTACATCTGTTATAATTTTTTCCGCTAATAAAACCTGGCACTGAACCATTAGCGATCAATTCACATTCAGTCATGATATTGCTCAGTCCACAATCTTCAATAAAAGTACCAACTGCCTTAAAAAAAGCCAATTCAATATGAAAGGCCCCTAAATGAATAAAAATGTTATTAAATCTTGGAGATTCTTGTACTTGAATACAATAACTAGTGCGAGCAATAGCTAGATCATAGGTGATCTGGATGTAGGGAGCTTGACACTCCTTTGCAATATCCTGACTCAATTCTAGAGTTTTCAAAACAGTTGAATTGTTGGTGGGAGATTCATTAATTGGAGTAAGAAATGAAACTTTTTGAACTCGTGATTCGTCAATCAAAATCTTGCTGTGAAATCCTACCCACATTGGAACATTCGATATTTTATACTTATGTAATAACATCCACGTAACGTCCAGCTGTTTCGACATACTCAAATTGTCTGGAGCTTTATTAAGCTCTGAGATGTCTAGCTGATTCCAGGTGGTAATTTTTAACTTCTTAGTAAATGGATGCATTTCAAAAGTAACTTCTTCAAAAGCCCTGCGTTTTCTTTTTTTTGTTTTTGGAGTAGTAATGGAAAATTCTGGAAAACTACCATGCACAATCTCATCGATTGTTGAATTTTCATTTGCAGAAGGGCTAGAAGATTCCAATGACACCGGATCCGGATTCTGCACGATATCCTGAAAAATTATTCCCACCGTATCATGCAAAGTATCTTTGCCGTTGGGGGTTTCTACGAAGCGGTCGAAATTGTCGAATGCGACACCAGTATTCAAGTCCGGGCGACGTTGAATATCTTCAGGACATACATGATCACTATTTACCGTTGAAAATGTCAGCTCAGTCTCTAGCTCTTCTAAAGTTGTGTAAGAGCAACAGTGCCCATATTTTGAAAGTATATATATTAACAACTTTCTTACTGTTGCATAAGCTCTTTACTGCCAGACCTAGGGTAATTTGCTTCGAAGTTTTAATTTTATGACCAAAAGCTGCATAAATCAGATCTTGCCCAATGGAAAAAATAGAAAGTTCTTTTTTTTTTCTATTTTCCCGTGCTTTTTGGGATAGATGCGAAACATCACCACAAATGAAAGTTTCCAAAAAACAATGAAGAAGCTCTGGCACGTAATCGCACTCTCCCAATATCAAATCTTCAGCTGTACAATTTTCAGGCAATTCTCTTCTGGTTGAGTTAAGAATTTCTTCACGAAGTTGTGTTGCAACCGAACGGATGGTTTCTTTTACTGCCATCGTTTTAAATAAATCCGTGTAAGTTAAAACAGAGGCGGAGAATGGAGCAAGAAACTTTTTTTTTCAGCGTAAATTATTTTCATCTTATTGTCAAAAGTTTCCATCAATTTTCTTTCCAAGAGAACGAAGAAATATTGATGGAATTAGATAATAAACTGCATTGCTGCTCTAACAATTTTTGATATTCTTTTTTTACGAAATCAAAAAACAAACATTCACTATTCTTGACCACTGTTTCTTCTAACATTTCACAAAGAATAGTATATGCAGTATTGGTAACTTTTTTTTTCCTTAGAAATTCGCTATTATCATTCTTATAAATATCGCGTAAATATTGATCCTTGCAACATTTATGGTAGGGATTTTTGGTATCATCAGAGAAAGAACGGAGCTTTTCCAACATTTGTACATCATGTTGTTCCGTGGCCGCGCTTTTCAAATTCTCAATAGTTTTTAATCTATTGACAGCTAAACGAACTTCACGACCATGATGCCGTTTACGCTGTTTTTGGCAAATGAAGCACGTTTGTGATGCTGAATCTGTACTGAATGAATTATTGGAATCCTAAAAGCCTTCCTGAACGTTGCTCGACTCTCCCACTCTGAAAATTTTATGAAATTATTTTTTTCAGTATTATAAATATTTAATAAATGAAGTCATATTAGAACTTACTCGTCTGTCGATGTACCAGCAACCTCAGTAGACAAGGAATCAACAGTACCATGTGCTTCGGAACACTCTCCAGAATCAGGAGCATGTGTTTCGTAGCTATTTCCCGAAACTTCCGGTGTATTGTCATGTTCCACTACAATTTTATCTTGTAAATACTGAAAGTCTCGCGGTATTTTAATTGCAGTAAATAATTTATAGCACTGTGCGTGATATAAATCTTTTAATGATGATTCCATCGACAATTCGAGGTTATCATATGTTCCTCGAGACTTTCGGATAACCGGCTTGATCCGACGATATTCCAAAATATTTACACATTTTTTTAATGTATTTACAGTAAATTTAATTGTTTTTTGTAATGTACTTTCACTACAAAATACACATTTCAAATCAGTCTTTATGATCGGCTGTGATGGCTTCATGGCAACAGAAACCTACCTACCATGGACTTTCTTAAAAACGATCCAGTTGAGATGCTGGTGAGTTTAGGTACTTCTTTCGGCATCGCAAGACCGAATGAAAAAACGATAATTTTGTTTGAGGTTTCTATGTACGATTAGAAATTTAACTGTCAAACTTCGACAGATGTTTCTATAAAAATAAATAAAAGATAAAATCATTTTAAATAATTCATCGATTCCAATAAGCTATTATGTCTTAATATATATAATATTCATTTCATACAAAACTATTCTTTTGATATATTTTAAACGTAAAGTTTTCTGGTGCTATGATAGTGACACTTATTATTTCTAAACGTTTCCGTCAAATTTTTAATAGAGAAAGAGTGAGAGAGAAATAGAAACGCGGAGAAGGAAATATAGGCATCACGCAGCTGCACGCATTTTACTTTATTATCGACGAATTTTTGTTATTTCGGCTTGCGGAAATCGTCAGATTATATATTTTTCATTATTCTTGAATTATTTCCTTCAAAATAAAAAAAAAATTTAGCTACGCTCGAGAATGTCGAGATGACGTTTTTTTTTTTACAACTTTGTTGCCCTCCCCTTTCTTTACGTCACTCTCAAATTGTCAGATTAGTGGAATATACACTTTTTAGGATGTAATTAACTCACCCTACCTTAATCTGATGCGCTCGGCAATTTCTGATGGTCAATTTTTTTTTACTAATCTGATCCTGTCTCCTTCACAGGCGGCCTTATATATGGACCTCATGTTTTGTGGAGGTACTTAACCGAGTACAAGCTATCCCCCTGTATATTAATCTGCCGCGCTTTAGTAAATCCCGAAATCCCCTCTTGGGCTCCCCTACCATAATTATTCTGCTATGAAATATAATGCTACCACGATTATATTCAATAACATGATATTAACTTTGTACAGATCGCTTATCACTATGCAATATGCATTTTAACCATCTTAAAAACCAGGTAGTAGGTACAATTCGATGCGTAGGCCTCATTTTTATTATGGGTTTAAACCCGATGGGCGATGGCTGGTTGCGGCTTCTAAGCAAACTGTAAAATTTTAATGTAAAATTCTTGCTGATTCCTATTCAAAGAAAAACATCATGAACAGCGAAATCAGCGGTCAGGAAATTTCCCTCGCCCTAATTGACTACATCCACGATACCTAAACTTTAGATATACCTGCGGGTACTGAGTACTAGAAAATAGTGAACCAAGTTTAAGGATTACTTAATTCCTACTTTATATTATAATATGTATTCTAGTTATTAGGGTAACATTGTCACATTAAAATATCAATTAATTATAGTCGTAGTGAAAGAAAGTACTCTGAATTGATGTTTAAATGTATCGAAGTATATTAACTTAAATAGTCTTGCAGTCTATAAATAGGGTTAAAACGTAAGTAGCCATCGACAGCAAAGAAACAACAAATAAAAATAGCCTGTATTCGAATACTACATAGTCAGGATTACATTAAGTTCATTATGTTTAAGTTATTAGTGCACGACCTCCAGTTTGAAGGCTTGTCTCTGATCCTCGCTATCATTTTCCAATCCTTCCTCGCTATCCGTTTTACTACATCTTCCCAGGTTGCTAGTGCGCCCCCTCCCCCTTTTTTCTTCCCACTGACCCATTCCAAGTAAGGTCTGTGTGACCAGCCCATTTTCAGACATGGCGGACCTGTTCGACATCGAACCTTATATATTAACTCGTAGTAATAATTTTACTAAGCAGATGAAAGGTTTCTATTTGTTTATTGTTTTAACGTTTAAAATTATTATAAATAAATTAGATTTATCTATGATTTAGTCCTCACTTACCTACTTGCAAATTACTAATTCTAAGACATTACACATTCAGTAATAAAGAACGCATGGAATACCACGTATAACTATTAAAAATAAAAATGGAATTTATTCCTCAAGATAAACTTTTAAAAATTAAGCCGGACACTCTGGAAGTTATCCGGGATGAGATCAACCTGGGTAAACCAGGAGAGATGAATACCGCTGTCAAGATCCTTAAGGAGTGGGTACAGCAACAACCGCATTTTAAAAAGAAGGATTTTGGTAAGTAGATCATTAATTTTTTTTGTAATTAAAAATTTTTTTGTTACATATTTTTCGAGTTTCGTTTTACTTTAATTGTACTCGTATTTACGTTTACCTAATGTACATAATATATACCTACATGTACCTAATACATAAATATAACGAACAAAAGTGTAATATTTTATAGGACAAAGGTCGTTTGGTTAGCCTTTAAAACTATAGATAGACATGCATTACTATTTTGAGACATATTAAGTTACCTTATTTCTATTTTTTTATAGGTGAGCATTTTCTAGAAACGACCATTCTTTCGGGAAAAGGATCCATTGAACGAGCGAAGAAACAGATAGATAGAGTGTGCACGTTGAGGTCATTATGGCCACGATTTTTTGGGGTTCGTGATATTAGAAAAGAGTTTGCAGATATATTTGCAATCGGGTAAGAATATACGAGTCTCATTTCTGAAATCGATTACACAAAACCGGAGTGAGGATGCGTTTTAATGTTATATAATTTTAGTGTTATTATATATATATGGATATTTGAAAGGTTGATTAAAATCTGCACAACGTACAGTCGGTGTATCGTCAGTACACGGGGGTGTTCAGACCCTCCAGATAAAAAGTATTCACGCCCCAATATAAATATTTATAAAGTTCTATGCATTGGTCGTTTCCTGTACTGTAGTGGTGCGATGTAGGAATACTGAATTTCCAAACACTTTATTGGTTATGGTTGAGGTGTTAATGGCAGCCTGTTTTTGGAGAATGGTAATGTCTATAGAGGCATTTAGTTAGAGGCAACTGTGAAATTTATTATTAACACTATTGTTGTTGCGCCTATTTAACGATCAGTATGAAACACGTTTGGGTATTCCATAAACATGTAAGTTCTATTTTAAATGGATGATATTTGCTAAGTTTTTCTTATTCTTTAGCTCCTAGGTCCGTTGGAACTGTAATATCTTTTAGGTTTTGTTATTTATTTCATTAATGTAAATCAAATCTGTCTGCGTGTTATGTAGATACTGGTATTTCCCATAAAATTTTTGCTGTTTCAGTTTCTTATATGTATATAATATATATGTATACTATGGTTTATAATTATAATATTATTTTAGACATTTCGGAGTACTGCCTGAAGTAAATGAAAATAACCACAGAGTGTTTGTCGCTCAAGTGAATGGAAACATTTTAAAGTCATCACAATTATTCAATTATTATAGATATGCAATATGTGTAAGTATTATTTCTTTATATGTAGATAATAATTTATGCCATTTAAAATTATCGACCAAAATGATCACAGAAATTTAAAAATTTGCGCCTGAAAATAATTTATTATGATTGAATATTTGAACAAAAAATATATCGCGAAACATAGAATTTGTATTTCTTTCAGACACTGTAGTATTCTAGAATTAATAAATATGTCATATAGATTATTAACAACGCCACGATATACATAGGTCTATGCTATATAAATTTCAGTTTGGAGAGTACATGAAAACGCACGATTACTATGTCAGCTATCAATACATCGTGGATCTGAGACAAACCGATATGACGGCGTTCTTAGCTGCCTGTAACCCCATTGAGATGAAACAAGCACTAACTATATTAATAGTAAGTTTTATAACAGGTCCTTAATAATTGGGTAATGTCTCCTCAGGACATTAACTATACTAATATAATTTAGCATCCTGTGGTATAATTAAAAAGTACTTAGTTAGAAATTAGCAAGCTTTTTTTAGTATTATTTACTATCGGTATAAAATATTAAGTAAACCTCTTGTTTAATTAGACAGTCAATAACTACACAACTTACAAACACCAGTAAGCTACTTTATTGATGAGCTCAATAACTTGTTAACAATTGGCCGGCACTGGTCCTCTCTAGTGATATCGCAAAGGATTCACCAATAATGGTCCCCTAGTTACGGTCACGGTAATCATTAATGTAGCCCATATTAATGAGCAGATTTATAGATATTCGATCAAATGATAATAATTATTATTGTTATAATAAGCGTAATAAAAATTACATACATAGCTGACTAAAGCTTTAATAAATTTAAAGTGCTAACTTAATATGTACTGATATCGGGATTTAAAGCTAGCAGTTATAACTTATAGATGTGTTTATTCTATTAATTAACCGGTTTCAGGAATGTTACGGAATCCGATTTAAAGGGCTGCATTTTATTACCAACTCAAAACACCTTATAGATATGTTGATCACAATATTAAAACAAATATTGAAGCCGAAGATAATTCAGCGGCTACACCACCATGCTACTTGCGACAGCTTGGCAAATTTAATCGGGAATGACTATTTACCCGTGGAACTGGGCGGGACGGCGGCCTCCATGCAGGATATACATAGTATGATGCCATGTTTGCTTAATTTGGCGGGCCTATTTATTTACCCAATACTTTATTTTTGAAGTGAAACTTCTTTAGGCGCATGAGGGTAAAATTTCATTTTGTCGAAGAAAAGGGAGAGAGCGATTAAGTCTTGAACACCGATGGTGTTTTTAATATATTATATAAATATCATTATTATTTTATTAAGTAACTAAATTATCATTTTTTTTGGTTTTGTATTTTGATAAGTTTAAAAATATCCATTTTTATTAATAATAGAAGAAGCAGAAAACCGGACCGAAAAAAACCCGGTAGAAGCATAAAACAATGACTTAAAAAAAAACTTGTTTCAGATAAATGGGTAGAAGTTCTGTCTTCGAAGGAGAACATGGAGTATTTGCGTGCAATGGATGATGTTGGTACTAACGAAGAACTCAGACCTAATGTTCGGTTTAACGAAGAATATGCAGGTGTCACTGGCACTTTCAGATTTTTAAGCGTTGATTGATTTTGTCAATCATTTTGACGCTTTTTATTTTCTTGAATGTGGTGATAAATTAAAAATAAGTAATAATTTTATTTTTCTATATTATGTCAATACAATAATGATGTTCTTAAATTGGTTTATATAAAATATCGCGTAGTCCAGCGTGCCTCCTGGAATTGGCCTCCTCTCATAGTTTCCAACGTCTTCTGCTACGCGCTCTTCTCCAGTGTTAGCTTCTTAATTAAACGTCCCCTTTCATATAATTTATAGGTTTCCATAAATCTGGATAACTGATAGTATAAGTTATCCAGAGATCTAAGTTGGGATCACATTCCAAATACCTTTTACAGAACTCGTATATTTGTGCAGTAGTTAACCTTAGTAATAAAATTCTGTTTTGCATACAGGACGTAAATAATTACTAAGAGTCATTATTGTGGCACTTGACCTCGGGCTCCAAGAGAAATAAAATGTAATTAATTGTAAGGTATAAGAGATAAATATAGTAATGTTTTATTCAGCCGTGTAAAGAAATAAGATCAAGGATCAAGAGCTATTAAGTATATGTATTTTGTATTTATATTATATATTCATGGTTTTTGTATATGGTTTAAAATTTAGCTCGGAACTTTTCTTACGTACAAAACACGGGTCGGTTTTGGGTAAGGCGTTCCGGAAAGAGACTGTGACGTTTAGGGTATTCGAGTTTGATTCCCGATCACTGCATAAATTTAAATAAAGTTCTACTATTCACACTGGTGCCGTTAACTTGCCTTCCTTTTAATTCATTATAATATCCATAATTTACTGCACACTGTGCAATAGTTAATTTATATTTACATCGGATCATTCTCTTGAAACGACAATATTGGGATCGAAAAGATCGATGGAGCAAAGACGCAGATAGACTAAGTATTAAGAACACTATTGCGCACTATTTCGATTTCAAGAATATTAAGCATGAGTTTGAAGCAATTTTTGAGGCTGACTTGACTTTCTATTATAATTTCCATGAGATGACTGACGATAAAGAGATGGGGATGCTTTCCCAAGCAGCTAGGATCCTCCAGGGCGTAGGAACTTATGTTGAAAATATGGCCAAGTCGCTTAGGTTGAATGCCTTTGGCGAAATCCATGAGCCTATTAGGAGGGCCGAGATGTTTTTCGTGAGTAGGGCCTCACTACCCCTTATGCAAAGGGCTCTGAAGCAGCATCAAGTGCCATAGTCCGCGGTTCATACGGATATCCGTATGAATAGTCACTGCGCTAAATTAATATTATCTACGGAATTAAACCAATCCAATCCAAATCCAATTATACAATCTGGCAGCTGTGACCATAGATGATTATCTAACTTGTGAGTTGTGCCAAGTTTAATTAGATATGAGATGAAGAAGCTCATCATATATAGACAGTCATCTATGGCCACCGATTGACGTACGCATTAATAAAATAAATAACATTATGGGATTACTCATTAATTAGTAATTAATATCTTTTACTCGTTTATTTGTAAGATTTCATTCGAACCTTGATGAACTGCTAATCGGTTGGTTGCTCCAAATATTAACAGCTGAAAGGACGCATTCCACCAAGAGCTCACTAGAGTAATGTTATATATGTATAAGTAGAATTTAAGATGTTATAGGTATTTAAAACAATAAATCAGATGTGAATATTGCTGTCTTATTTATTTCTCGCTTCCTCTCAAGCTGTACAGTGCATGTCGTTAATGTTGCTGGTATTAGGTATAGCGACACCTACATAACCTACATTGTACATTCACGCTTAGGGCCAGTTTTTTGATCCGTAGTAAAAAATGGTTTAACCATTTGTTACATTAACTATAGTTAAATGAATAACCATTGGTAAAATCGTAAATGCGTTTTTCAATGTCTATTTTAACTATAGTTAATCTTAACAATTGGTCAATTTGTTGCCAGTGCAATGAGCAATGACATCCCAAAAAATGTGGTGCTTTTTTGTGGGGAACATTTATTTTGTATGACAACACTAGACATATTGAGTGAATTAAATCTATTTTTGCCATCTTCATTCGTTATTTGCGCTTTGAAGAGTTTGAAGTGTCAAATTAATCTAAATAACACGATATAAATAAAGTTGTTTTTCTGTGTTTTAATACGGTTTACACCTTTTACGATACTTAAATATATAAATAACGATGTCCGCAAACAGCCAACGGTCAAACAAGTAAGTACAAACATATTTTCGTGTTATTTATTCCGGTTTATCTTGTGTTTCGTAATAGAAAGTAATACATTTATGTTTTGTTAAAGGGACCATACTGCTAACTTCGCCAAAAAAGAAACTGCCAAACTGGTGATGCTTCTCAAGGATTACACAGTCGTAACCTGCAAACAACTGATCACTGCAGCAATCTACAAAAAGATGCAGCAGGCAGCTTGGATATCTCTGTTACGTTTTCAACTCAGATGGGTCTAGACACCGAAGTGTTAAATTTAATATACATTTAATGAAGGTGTAGGCACATATTTATATTTATTTTTGTATAGCTGTGTCCTACAACAAAAGGAAAAAATCTTTTAACCCTTTGGAAACAAGGAAGCGGATTATGATCCACACGGATAAAAAAATGGAGTTTTTGAAACAAAAACAAATAAGAGAGGATGATTTGTTCAATTATGCTAAGGAAGAGCATCAAAAACATTTGCTGCACCAATGAGAGGCCCACCAAAAATCCATACTGCATAAAGAGGAGGTGCACCAAAAAGTGATGCAGCAGATGGAAGAAAGGCACAATAAATATATGTAGCAGCAAAAAGAGTTGCATCAAATTGAGGTGAAATGCAAGAAGAAACAATTAGAAAATATTTAATTGCTACTTTAGGGTTTCATGTAAATTTTGTAATGTTTTTATAATAAAAATGGTTTGTATTTAAGTTATAATTAAACAGTTTATTAATCAAGTCACATGTTTTATTTATAAATTCTTGTAATAAAGTAGGTAGATGCTAACTCACAAATGTAATAAAAGCCCTAAAGAATATCATAGGTCCCTAACTAATGTGTAGCTGTAGTTTATTACAAGTATGTACTTATAATAATTATAAGTTAATATTATTAGTAATATATAAATAATATTAACTCTAATTCATTATGTATTTTATTGCCTATGATATTAACTTTGATAATGAATTAGTAATATACTTAATTATATACTGCTGCGGTTCTGTAGCTAGTAATGAAGCAAAATAGGTTTGTATGAGCTGCTGTCTATATATACTCTTGTTCTTGTATTTTATTTTTATTTAATTATAAGTTAATATTATAGGCAATAAAACACATAATGAATTAGTAATATACTGCTGCGGTTCTGTAGCTAGTAATGAAGCAAAATAGGTTTGTATGAGCTGCTGTCTATATATACTCTTGTTCATTGGCAGTTTAAGATCATTCCCAATTTCAGTAACAATCCAGAGCACTGTTCCCTTCGATAGGGGGTAACAGTGACAAAAATCTACATCATCCCAGGTTTCTAATGGCGGATGGCGTTGCCTAAATATTTTTGGACACTCATTAACACATTCTCATATAATATTATCGTCTCCTTCATCGTCTAATTAATTAAAGTATCTCAATATGTTTAAATTCATCATTAGATAGTAATAAACGTATTTATCATAGTTTGATTTCTGTGACACACAGCTGTTACTATATAAATAACCAGCGGCCATCTTGTTAACCCTCCGATACTGAGTAGTTAACTTTTTTGACTAATGGTTAGATATTTTACCACGGATCAAATAACGCATTTTGCTGATATTTAACTAATAGTAAGGATTTTAACCAATAGTTGAGTTAACTACGGATCAAAAAACCGGCCCTTAGTATCATGCCTGTCGCATTGATTTTGTCTCAAGCGACATAGCGTGAGCTAGCTGCTAGATAGCCGTCATTCTTATACAAAATAGAGAAAACTTTTTATCTTTTAGAATACCAACCATCAAACTAGAGTCTAGTGACGTGTTTACTGTCAAATATTAATTTTACAAATTTTTAATCTCAAGTCACTGTCAAGTAATATATATCCTGTGTAAATATTACTATTTACTACAATTCACATTATCATAATAAAGTTTACCTTATCGAAGTATTTAGAGACAAATGTTAACAATTTAAGGCATTTACATATTTTGTTCGTTCTTACTTATTTATTGGCTTTAGATTGATTTTACATAAAATAGTTATAAAGTATATAATCCTTTAGTTTCTAACAAAATGATAACATTATGGAATTTATTTGAAGCAAGTCTTCTATGTTTAAATGCTGTTTGCGTTCTTCACGAAGAAAGATTTATGCAAAAAAGTTAGTTCTGTAATTATTTATAATTTTTTGTAAGGTTCATCGATCCATACAATCTAAATTATAAGTTCTACAATTTATACTTTTCCAGTGGGCTGGGGAACCAACACACAGCAACAAGGTTTTGAAGACCAATCTACCATAAAATATCAGATATTAAATTTAGTACGTTCTATCAGGACGGTTACAAGAAGTAAGTTTTTATTTAAATTGTACTAAGACACAATTTTTAAAATAGTTTTGTAGTAGTAACAAATTGCATAGTTAGAAGGCTTAGCCTAAATACTTAGATTCCAAAATTTTTAGCTTTTATTTCTTAATTATCTTATTCATATTACTAATTATAATGTTAGGGAGTAGTAGATATATTATATAGATATTAAAAATTAAAATAAACAATTACATTGGTTCTTATACCTTAAACTTGTTTGTTATTAATAACCAAAAAATTACTAGAAGTTGATGTGATAATTTTTAAACTTATCCTAATTTCCAAGAGCACCAGTAAATTTTAAACATTTTATTAAAGAGTACTGAATGAAAAGGTTAGTAATGTTCATTGTACAGAAAATGTTTTGAAAGGCTATTATTCTGTTATATAGAGAAGTCTTGATGTCAATCATAATTACTAGTACATATTATGTTGATTTCATTGAAATAAGATGGTTGTGGTTATTGTGTTCTAGATTTAATCTAAATTTTATGTTTCAGGAATATTTTAATCAATAATATCTTGTTTGTTTCAGTTCCACTTATTATCCTAAATATACTAACTATACTTTTTAAATTACTCCTAGGATAGCAAATATTACTAGGAAGTATATTTTATATGGCTAAACACATGAAATTGCTTCCTAAATGCAAGAATTCAATACAGTGTGATATTGTTTTGTATAATTTGTAAGTAAATTGTAAAAACACTTGTTGCCGTTTTTTTATTAAAAATGTCTTTAACATCAAAAATAAAAAGATTTGAGAAAAGAACCTGCAGTAAATGTAAATTAAGAAGCATAATTATTTTTCTTAGATTCATAGGTATACATGAATAAATGTTATTTTGAAATCAAACAATTTGATTTGAAAGAGAATTTGTAGAAGTACCTTAACATTAATCTAATATTTCATTATGATGATTATCAACAATTATTGTTGAATTTTGTAAAACTATTATGTATAAACATCAATAAATTATATGAAATAAATTAACAAATTTCTGAAATAGTAAATTATACATTTAGAATCCTTCAAGAAAAAAATATACTAATTCTTAAAATGCCGGCCCCTTTACCCCTGTACTATAAAAAAAATACTAATGATCAAACCAGAAGTCTGTGACTTAATTGTTCTATTAAAAAAAAAATTACCGCATTATTATTTATTTTTATCGATATTGAAAGCCAATAAAGAGTATTGTACTATTGTATACATCAGAGCCAATTAATTGGTAACAACATGCGTAAGTTAAGGCCCATCTTTTTTATTTTAAACACATGACAAGGATATTGGATGAGGTTAATTCATTTACCTAGATATTTTGAACTCGATGGATCCAAAATACATTGCTAAAAATGCATAGTTCCATTTCTTGTTCGTACTTCGTTATGTATCTGTAGTAATTTATTAACTATGTACCTGTATCTTGTCTATGGCCTGTTACCGCCATCTTTAATCTTTATTCTCTATATGTCATAGAAAGAAAGAACGCCGGGCTTTTGATGTCAAATTTTTCACCGTGAAGAATTTTTAATTTTATATATCTTGGGAAAGTGGTTAATGATGGCAGCAAATAACTATTTTGGGTTTACCCACGGAGGTACCCAATATGGGTAAGTAGATAATTATAAAATTACTTTGAATTATTGATCAGAGACGCAAACACAATTTCCTAACTAATACGCAGCCTTGAGGCCGCATTCTATGTAATCAAAATGGCGTCTCCATTGTATTGATCGTAGAAAATTTGCAAGAATCGTGTCTGTGTCGTGTTTTAAAGGTGTATCGTGTGATTTCTAGCGCAGCAACGGCTAGTGCCGCTTACGGTGGACAAACAGGGTACGCCGTGGCGCCGGCTGCGACAGCCGCGACGTACGGAACTCAGCGTGCCGCAGCAACTGGCTACGACACGGCTTATCAGGCCGCAGCCGCCACTCAGGGTAAGGATTTTTCTCTTTCGGCGCATAAGTTCAAGTAAAATGAGCTGAAGTTAAACCCTTTTGAAGAAGTAATAATTTTGCCGCAACTTCGTCTCTAAAATCAGTACATTATGCAGTGTGATTATATGCAAATTTAGTCTATAATGCAGCTGAATTTCTTACTCTCCCTTGATATCAGATATAACAAGGACTGTGTTGACGAACAGATGAACTCTTACCATAAACAACTGGGTGAAAAAATCAAGGTCATTAACCTTATGTCTCATCAATGCAGGGCTGCCAGGTGAAAAAAACGCATGATCGTACACCAAGGAAATTTTGAAACGAAAAGATCGTACAACAAAAAAGTGGAAAGTTTTTATTTAAAATAAGTAGCTGCCTTTGCCTTGAAGAGTGTTACTTTAAAACTCCATATTCTGAAACTATTTCGACGTCACACACAGTCCACCTGGCTTTAAATTGGTTTTTACCGGGCCCTAACCGGTCCGTAAATAAATCAAATTTTTCCCGATCGGGACGTTACTTCTGTGCTCTGTGTTTGTTCCTCAATGACCTGTGTTGTAGAAAGCTCTCCTCTTTTGGCTAATTTCTGTTTTGGAGTACCTGGCGCAGGTCGGTCTTCTTCATTTTCACTACCCATTCTTGCTTAAGCGTATAGCACAAAAACCCCTAAAGACAATATGCAGATCAAAAGAGGATAGTATAATCACTTAGAGCTAGAGACTGATGAGAAAAACAGGTTTTTGACTATTCCAATACAGGTATTTACAAGAGAAAAATAATAAGTTTTGTTACAATGCACACAAATATAGACTTCATATAAAAAAAGGGTCTTTAGACGTAAAAGGTCTAAGCATACGTTAGGTTGTTGGGGAAATCCCCAAACATAATACTTGCCGGTGGAGTATATATTCGTTTCATTACGAAATGTTGCCAGGTACAGAATAATCGGACATTTTATGTACGATCTTGGTCTAGCGATCGTACATGAGTAAAAATGACAAAAAATCGTACAAGTACGATTTAAATCGTACATCTGGCAGCCCTGCATCAATGCCTTAACCTATCTACTCTTCATAACATGAATGTTATAGCAATTTTGAATTGAACATGTGAAGATGGCATGCTAAGCAAGTTTACCTCAATATAGAGAACAAATGTAAATAGCCTCACAAGGCATCTTGCTTCTTGATTATATTGTATGATTTTATTCAGTGGCACAAACAAGGAAAATACAAAATTAATAATTATACATACATACATATAAAATGCACAAAAGATAATAAACCAGATAAATCAGAAAGACAAATATTTGGCATTTTAAACTCAAAAATATACTAACCCTCACAGTACTACTTAGATAAAAAATCAATAATTTACATTTAAATTTGTGAAATTCAAGTAAGATGTGAATTTTGTCAGTATATTGATATTTTATTGTATAATAAACATGAATAAATATAACAAAACAGAAAAGGTAGCATAACTAATGTATTGCTCAACGGTGTGCAAAATATTAGGATTCCATATATATTTACCCTTTGCACTTCTTAATACTTACAAAACTGCCTGTTTGGTAAATACCTATAGTAATAGTGTTTTAGCAAGAAAGGTGTGTTGTGATTGTAGTAAGTACTATTCACCAGCTTTAAACAGTCTTCTAATTATGACCTGTCCTCCATGTGTATTTTCTGTCTATATATTTTATTTAAATAAGTATGGATCAGTGTAATCAACAGCAGTCCAGTAATAAGTTTCTTGTAAATCTAGTTACTCCATTTTATTTATTGAAAGACAATTTTCATAAAACATCTGTGTATCGCATTAGCAGCGGCTCACGCACACGCACACGCCGCTGCGGCCGCGGCTTCGGCGTACGACGCCAGCAAGAGCGCGTACTACCAGCAGGCGGCGGCCGCCTACCCCACGGCGGCGCCGCAGCCTCAGCCCGCTTACGACGCAACGGCCAAGCCTACGTATTCTACTCCTGCTACTTACGCACAGGTTGGTCCGGTGCTTGTTGACATTTTGAAGAGTCGATTACGAGTTTTCAAAAGTTAGATTATGTTAGGAGTCATGCTTTGTGACCAAAAAAATTTAAATTCTTGTGTTTTGTTATAAATTAAACATATGATACGACAGCTTCGTTGAAAAATTTGTTAATGAGTATAAAAAATTTAAAGTATGGGAAACATTCTTATTTGTTCCCAAAATTTGTCAAAAATTGTGACTATGTAACTAATACATATATACTAAAACGATTACAAGAATGAGAGCTCAGGACGGGAGACATAGAATTAGGGTCGGGCTGGAGCCGGCCGGGACAGAGTCAGTTTACGATATAAACCCGAAGAACAACATTATAATCCAGGGCGGAGGACGCGCCGGCGGCGGCGCGAAGGCGGCTTACGGAGGCGTCTACACGGCCACCACGGCCGCCGCCACCTACCCTGCGCAGCCGTACACGGCGCCCGCTGCGCAGCAGGCCAAGCGTTAGTACTCACTCTTTACACCTACACTGTCCCGCTCTACAACTGGCGACACATTTATACGAGAGAGAGGTTAATCTTTACAATGTTTATGAAATCAGTACGACCCGGGGTCGTTTCGGTAAACGGATATATAATAATGTTTCGGTTTGAAATTCTTCCAAGGCGCTATCTATGGGGAACGTAGTTAGAATAGTGAATTGTAGTGGCGCACAATGAGAGTGTGTGGTTGTGTGGTGTTGTAGCGGCGACTAACAGGGGCACCTCTGCTTATGATACAGCGCTGTACAACGCGGCCACCATGTACGTCGCGCAGCAGAACAAGACGGCCGCCAACCCGTGAGTATATCTATCAGTTTTATTTTGACTTTTGAATCATTTTGCCGCTTCGAATCTTCGATTCGCTTCTTCGATCGCTTTAGTGCGCCTCGATGGCATTCACAATTTATTGATCGCTCTTCGTACGATGTAGGGGTTGGAAGAACTACAACAAAAGCGGCGTGGGAGCGGGTCAGCCCAGAAGGCCCAAGCCTCCGCCGAAGGCGCAACAGCTACACTACTGCGACGTGTGTAGGATCTCGTGTGCCGGACCGCAGGTGAGTCGCTTTCCAAGAAAGGAGCCGGGATCGACGAGATACGCTCGGAAAGGATCGAGCCGTTTGTTTGTCTGACCGCAGACGTACAAAGAGCACTTGGAAGGCCAGAAGCACAAGAAGAAGGAAGCGGCGGCCAAGGCCGGCGGCGGTGGCGGGGGCGGAGCCGGCGGCCGCGGCTCGGGCGGAGCGGCGCTGCGCTGCGAGCTGTGCGACGTGACGTGCACGGGAGCAGACGCGTACGCGGCGCACGTGCGAGGCATCAAGCACCAGAAGGTGGTGAAGCTGCACACCATGCTGGGCAAGCCCATTCCGTCCACCGAGCCCACCAAGCTCTCCTCGGGTAAGTTCCGTCGTCAACGCCGTCCCGTCTCGTCACAGTGTCATATCTGTATTTCGCGACCCGTCGCTCGGGCGATTTGAATAAAATCAAAAGTCAAATTTTCTCCCCCTGTCCCCGCCCGGTACAGATATGGACCGGATCTCTCGATTCGCCTCTCTTTCGAGTCGAGCGTTCGCCGTCGACTCGAAAGAGTCGCCCGAAACGCAGAGAAAGTTTGACTTTTGAAATCGTAGCGAGCAACGCCATCGGCGGCGCGGCCAAGATCGCGTTCGTCGCTCGCGGCGGACTCAGCTCGGTGACGGTCGGTGCCCCCGCAGACAAGGCCGAGGAGCGCGACGACGACGACGGCGAAGAGGTGCAGCCCGTGGGGCAGGACTACATCGAGGAGATCCGCGGGGACGACGGCAAGCCGCACAGCTTCAACTGCAAGCTCTGCGATTGCAAGTTCAACGACCCCAACGCCAAGGAGATGCACATGAAGGGCCGGCGCCACCGTCTGCAGTACAAGAAAAAGGTACGGTCCGCACCCCCCGCCCCTCGTTCCCTTCCCCTTCCGTCTCGCCTATCCTATGATTACTCAGTAAAAGGTTCGAGGCACTCGTCGAGCCTGGTGCTCCGTCGCCAAGAGATCCGGGTGCCGCATGATGACAATCTCGAATGAGGATAATGGACTCGTCCAATTTACTATTGAACTCCGAAAACACTGCTCGTAGCGAGTTCGGATATAATATGTGTGTTGTGACGGATACAGGTGCAACCGGACCTGGAGGTGAAGGTGAAGCCCTCGATGCACCAGCGGAAGCTGGCCGAAGCCAAGGCCCAGCGTATGCTCGTCAGAGACGAAATGTGGGCCCGACGTCGCATGCACGAGGTACACTATTTATTTCATTAATATATATAATATATTGTTATATATTATAATATAATGCCAATACGATAATGTCGATAAAAATAAAATATTATAAAGTATACAATATTAAACACATAATATGCACAACATCGCTACTGAGAATAAAGATGTCGAGTGTCGGAGAAGTCATTCAGTAGGCGCAACGTCTTTGATAACGGGGATCTGTGCAACAGACTGGTTCTAGCCTTTGGGATCGCAAACAACCTTGTATCAACATATCCCATAGGTACAAAGAAAAAGAGTTTTCGGAGTACACTTGGGTTGCACACCACTCCCCGCAAGACTTTCAGTATATAGTAGGCCAACTGTAAGTCCCGATTTGTTTAAAATTAATTGTACTCCACCATCCCTAAGACAAATAATGTTCGGTAAATTAAAGGATAGAAGGGATAGACGCCATACAGTCTGCTATAAAGGTATGACATAAGGTAGTAATTAGCTTAACCAGACGAGTTACACTCCAACATACTTATTACGTTTCGCATAATGCGTTGTACGAGCTTGAGATGGTCCCATTCTCGCGAATGTCCACTATGTGATCCCAAAATGTCAGTTGGGCATCCCCTCGCACCCCTAGGGTTCTCACTGACGTAGTATCCACTCACCGAACGAATGTCGAATCGCAGGGCATGGAAGACGAGGAGCGCGCCTACTGGGAGGGCGGAGCCGAGGCGTGGTGGGCGCGAGGCCCGCTGCCGCCCCACATGCACCACCACCATCACGTGAGTCCCGCTCGTTCGACTAGGATTCGATAGAGTACTCCCGTCGGTGACGCGCGTCCTTTTGCCGCAGGGAATGGGCATGGGCATGGGTTTCGCGAGCATGGGCCGTCGCCCCGAGACTTCCGACGACCGCCACGTGGTGGCCCGCCACGCCGACATCTACCCCGAGGAGCAGGAGCTGCAGCAGATACAGCGGGTGGTGTCGCACACGGAGAAGGCGCTCAAGTCCCTCTCGGACGCGCTCGCCGACCAGGCGCTCGCCAAGGTACGTCCGTCGCGTCCGCGTCTCGAATTAGTCGTGTGGACGTTATCGATTAACTTTCTCTTTATTTCGACCGCAGGGTTCCGCTAAACCCTCTCCGAAAGTCGAGGACAAGAAGGATGAGAAACCCGAAGGAAAAGAAGACGGCCGGGACAACCAACTGTGAGCGTTTGCTTATTTGTTCGACGATTCCCGTGAATAATGTAGAGGAGCATGTCGCGTCTTCTGTGAATGTTTGTATAGTTGCAAAATGTCCCGTCGCAGATTCTCGTTCATGGGCGAAGGAGAAGGCGGCGGCGGCGAGAGCGGCGCGGGCCCCTCGGGAGCGCCGAGTCGGGCGCTGAAGGGCGTGATGCGCGTGGGGCTGCTGGCCAAGGGCCTGCTGCTGCGGGGCGACCGGGACGTGCGCCTCGTGGTGCTCTGCCACGACAGGCCCACCGTCACGCTGCTCAAGCGCGTCGCCGCGGACCTGCCCGGGCACCTGCAGAGGGTCAAGGTTCGTCCGCGTTCTCGTCGCGAACCTCCGGTCTCGGTCTCTCGGTCCGCCCTCAACTCGCTCCTTCCCCTGTCCGCAGACGCCGGGCGACGAGGCCAAGTACAAGGTGGAGCTGCTCCCGGCCGAGGGCGCCGTCCAGGTGTCGGAGGGCGCCGTGCACGTGCTCGTGAGCCTGACGTCGGCCGTGATGCGGGAGCCCGCCGGTGAGACGCCGTCCCCGCAGCCTCACGATTTTCGAGGCCAATTTCATCCCACCCGATCTCGCCTCATGAAATTGGTTGTCAAAATCGACCGAACCGGCCGAACAAACTATCCGTGTCCCAATTTATTAGTTTAACGTCTCGAGAGCTTTTCACTTTTCGCTCGTAAAATCTGTCGTGACGAGGAGATATTTTGTTCCGAGTTGACGCCCGCGGGCACTTGTGTTGATGCTTATTTTTAGGTGTAGCTTAAGAAGCGGAAGAAGGTTTTTTGACCATCCGCTGAATATACCACCTAGCCTAGGTGATATATCTTCCGCCGCCGAACCGAGGCAAACACCGCGCCCTTCGACGATATCGCCGTTATCGCTGTTATCGCTGAGTCGAAACGGATCGCAATAGTTTCGGGGGGCACGCTATTCGGTTCGTTCGCGTCGGACGTTATTCTTTCGAGCCCGTAGGGTCAGTCCGACGGAAGGTAGAAGGAGCGTGCCCCCCCGTGGGGGTCGGACGGGAGTCGGGGCGCGAGTCCGTTTGCCCCGCGTTGGTTCCGATGGTCAAACACCCTTTATTGTCGCTAGAGGGCGGCGACGCCAAGCGAGACGACAAGGACGTGCTCCCGCGCCAGAAGTGCTTGGATGCGTTGGCCGCCCTTCGGCACGCCAAGTGGTTCCAGGTACTCACATTACTTTCGCTCGGTTGTCCGCTCCGCCCTCACGCCTTCCGACGCGCCGTAGACCCCGCCGCCTCCGCGGGGCCGTTGACGGGCGACGACCCGAGCGGCGTGAGGACGGAACGCAATTGAAGTATTCAGTGCGCGATACATCTCTCACTCAGAGACTCATTAATTAACTAATTAGTAAAATCGGCTTTCGTCGAACGCGGTTCTTCACTTGACACGTGAGAGATTTGTTGCGCACGCATTTTAGTCACATGTTTTTGTTCTTATTATCTAAAGTGAATCGATGACAATAGTAGCAATAGTAGAAATAGTTGACTTTGCCGACCCGACGCCTCCCTTGAACATGTGGCTACGAGTGATGGTCGTAGCGTAGGAGATACGAGTCGAGCTCTGCTTTTGCTCATTAACGGGATGCGTTCCCGTTTCGGTCCCGACTTCCTATTCTTGTTTAACTGTTTAATATTGTAGAGTCTAAAGCGGAATGAATACATTCACGATTCCTTAAAGTGTGTGCCTAAACGAGCTTCATAGAAGTAGTCGACCGGACGAGGGTAGATTGTCTGGACCGGGATGTCGAAGCGTCCCGTCTAATGAGGTGGAGTAGAGAAGTACGGGGCGCGGCGGATATCGCTCGAGAGTGAGACGAGACACTCCGGTGTGGTTCGCCCTAGTAGTGAAAACGCTCCACCGTCCGCTGGCGCCACACCAGCGGCGGCGGGGCGACGAGCGGAGATCCGCCGCGCCTCGTCTCTCGCCCGACGGAGTCGTCTACGGACGCTTACACGGTTTGTGTCGCAGGCTAGAGCGGCTAGTTTGCAGTCTTGCGTCATCATCATTCGCGTCATGCGCGACCTCTGCCGCAGGATTCCCAACTGGACGCCGCTCAATCCCTACGTGAGTATTGCGCCGATGACCTTAACTGAATTCCATTGGTTCTCTCTGTCCGAAACCGAGTTTCGGGGCGAGGTTGAAAAACTAAATAAATAGCGAGACGTCCATTCGTCCAGGCGATGGAGCTGCTGGTGTCGGGCGTGATGCAGTCGGCGGGCACCGCGCTGTCCCCGGGGGAGGCGCTCCGTCGCGTCATGGAAGCCGTGGCCGGAGGCCTGCTGCTGGAACACGGGCCCGGTCTGAGGGACCCTTGCGAGAAGGAGCTCGTCGTGAGTACTAATAATTTGCCGTTTAGAAAACGCTTACTTTTTATTGTTTTTTTTGACGTACATACCCCGGCCCTTTAACATGCGGACGCGACCAGAAAATGGTTTAATATTTTTTATAGTTTGTATTTTTGTAGTTTTTTTTTAATTTTATGGTTGTTTGTATTTCCACTGTTTATTGTATTTACTTGATTTCGCCGGTCGTGTCCACATAGGGACGGCACCGCTTTTTACATTTTTGTGTTTATGTCAATTTGTATGTTTGTCCTTATTTTGTGATCCAAATAAAAAAATATATATTATTTGCATTTTACAATATTCAAACTTATGACAGATCGCCCTGTGATCTTTCAGGACGCCCTGGGTAACCTGGCTCCGCAGCAGCGCGAAGATTTGACGGCGTCCGCGCAGCAGTTCCTCAGGCAGATCGCCTTCAGACAGATACACAAGGTGGGCTCGAGCGACGAGCGACGGGCGGGTGAGTCGAGGGAACGGACGGAATCGTTGAGCGTCGAGTGCTTGCAGGTGCTGGACATGGAGCCGCTGCCCAAGGTGAAGGCGGGCGGAGCGGGCGCGGGAGCGGGGAGCGCGGCGTGGAAATTCCCGCGTAAGCGCAGGCGCTCCAACACCGACGCCGACCACGACACGCCCAACGGTCGGTATCGACTCTCGACGTATCGACGAGGCACGTGATTAAATATTTTTGAATAATGAAATGGCGTTTCAGGCGAGGGCAAAATAGTGAAGACGGAGGAGGCGAAGGGGGAGCCGGCGGACAAGCAGCCCGTCAAGAAGTAGACTCCGGCGAGAGGCTCGGCCCGACGTGACGATAATCGTTTTCTGTAAATATTCTCTTTTCTCTCACTCGGGGTCGGCTCAGGCGATCTGTCCATTGTAGCGGCGTGGCCCCCCGGGCCCTCTGCGGATGTGACTCCCGTCGGGATCTCTCTCTTCCTCGAGTTTCTACGAGGCGTAGAAGCGCTAGTTTTTCGAGAATACATTATTAGTCGTCGACCGACGAGAGCCGACGAGTACCAAATTCGCAGAGAGCCTCTCACGTAGCGGTGGCTACTCGTGTTTTAATATAATTTAGAATAGTCTAAACTCTAATATATGAATTGACAGGGAAGGTCGTAGGAGGGCGTCGGCCGGTCGAGGTGTTATTTTTAGGATTACGCAGTATTTTGACTTATAAAGTTAGTTCCTTTGCAATTAAATAATGTAAGTTCGTCTCGGTCGCCCTCGAATCGACGAAACGTCGTCGACTCGCCTCGATTTGTCTAGATTACGATGTATTTGACTAATTTTTGAAGAAACTTATTTTCAAACGACAAATCTCTATTTTACGAAAGACACTACGAGACGTTTAGGTGTTCGGTTATGTCTAGTTCTAGCGTTTATGAAATTCGCTCGAAATTTATTTTCTATATATTTTAAGAAAATTGTTTTTTAAACGTACCTACGAACGAATATTTATGTCAATAAAAATACGCGTTGTATACGATTTTGTTTTATTTAAATCTTAGTTTTAAATGGAGTTCGACCGTCCTTGTAATATTCAGGGACATATTTTTTAAGCAGTGATTAATTCTATAATTATATTTAAATTATTTAATTTCGGAATTTATAAAAGAATGTTGGAACATTTTTTTTTCTGTTCTTGTGAATGAAACGTCTCAGCCACATAGCAGCAACATCTTACAATACATAATCGACGTAAACAATACAGCTGGGCTCCTGGCTTTGTTATAATTTTTTTTAAATAATTATTTTATAATAAACCAGTAACTATTTTAAAAGTATTAATTTGTCTACTTGATATTTTCACCCTTGTAAAATAAATTCCGTAGCTCGGTTACTATACATTATGTGTTCACTATTTCGTCTGATCTGAGTTTCTTTGATGTTCCTTAGTTACTCTTAGTCTAATTCTGTTGCACAGTAATTTAGATGAAGTAACATTCTATTAGTAGGGGGGAGCCCACGATGATAAATGTGGATTTACTCGAGCTACATAGAGACCTATTGAGTTGGGAAGTTTAGATATTAAAAAGAAAATAATGTTATAAAATGTATACCTTTTTATCGAACGCGTCAGATTTTCTAAGGGGGTGTTGAGTGAAGCGTGTGCTCTCATCTAATAATCTGACGCAATGAGGATGTGACGCACACTCGTGGTCATTAAAAGAATGTGCAAAAAAATTTTCGGAGATTGTGAACCTAAACGCTTTTACTTTACTGCTTACAATTTATAATAATAAAGCCCGTTTTATTTCCAATCATGACAAAAACATATTATAATGGCGCGTCTAAACGGGCCATGTTTTGCTGCAATTGATGGCTGTTTTGCTGCAAATAATACACAGCTTAGATTATTTTTCATTATTATACATACATATTTTCTTTGCTTGTTATTCTATATTCTAGCTTCCTTCAGTACCGTCGATCGGAATCCCTTCACGGGTAAAGGCTTCCTCCAGCTTTTTCCAACTGACTCTGTCTATGGCTCTCTTTCTCCATTCGTTTCCTGCTACCGCTTCTAATTCTTCTATCTACCTTTTTTTTGGGCGACCTCTTCTTCTTCCTCGTGGTCCTTTCCATACAGTTTTCTTTAAGGTCCACCTGTTATCGGTGTATCTTGCTATATGCCCCGCCCATTGCCACTTCTGTTTTAGGGCATAATGTAAGGCATCTATATCTTTTGTTCTTCGTCTTATTTTTTCGCTTATAATTTTATGTATTTTCTTATTTTAAGTACGTTTATTTCCATTGCTTTCTGGCATGCTACTAGTTTAGTTTTTATTGTTGTATTGTAAGTCCACGTTTGGCAGCCGTATGTGAGAGTAGGTAAGATACAAGTGTCCAAGACAGTTTTCTTGTGGTGAATAGGAAATTGGCCTTTTAAGATTTTCTTCATGGACCAAAACTTTTTCCAGCTCATGTTAAATCGCCGCTCTACCTCAAGTTCTTCATTTTTATCTTCGAATGATAATTGTTTACCAAGGTATATGTAGTTTTTTTACTACTGCTTACAATTTAACGTATTATTATTCGGTAGGTTGTAATCTATCAAAGTGAAACCGTCAAATTGTGAAACGAAACGCACCTCGCGCGCTAATTGGTTGAACGGCATATGCCCCATACATTTAACCGTACCCCATAAAAGATGTTTGAACTTAGGCTAATCTGAAAGATGGTTGAGCTATTTTATCTTTATTTCTAGTATTAAAATTATGTCTATCACTTTTTTTTACTAAAAAGATGTAGATTATTTCTTACATACATAAATGAAGTGGCAAGTTACTGTCATAATATTAATCTTTTTAAATACATAGTTCCCTAAGAGATTCGCGACGACATAGATTATAAATAGTTCGGACAGCTCTCTTTTGCAAAATAAAAATGAATTCAATGTCAGCATGCACGCAACAATTACTCGACGATGCTCCACACTGTCTGGTTTTACAAATCAATCGGTTAATTGTGATTGTTATAATACTTTAATACTATTATTCTGTAGTTAATAAAACTACAAGCGAGTTTTTCCATTAAAGACACAAGAGACAGTAGCTAACTAGCTAGAGTCTGGCTAATGAAAAAAGATAACGATGATACCATACTAAAAATTTTAGTATGGTATCCCTAAAAGTTTGATATATTTTGTGGATTAAACTTACTTGATTTTATTTTATTATTTTTACATTGATAGTAACTGTATTTCTATAAAATTAAATACTATACGTATTTAGCCTTTTACTATTGATACTTAAAATGACTAGCATTGCATGGAAAACTAAAACTATATTTATTATAAAACACAACTTTATTCGGAATAATCAAATCCTGCTAAAGAAACGAAATATTCTATCAAATAAAACAAAGTTTAGGCTATCATACCTGTTGACTATTCGGAAAAAATATATAATAGAAATAAAAATGAGTACTTGCAAGAAGTATCAAGACAATAAATCATATGTACTTAGTCAGAATCAGAAATTCAATGACATTCTGTGTTGCCATCCGAAAGTTTTCAAATAATTCAAGTATCTTCTTTCATTAGCCAGACTATATAATTTTAATAGGCGCAACTCGTCTCATACATAATGTAGCAACGTTGCTACATTGCTACCACACTACTAACCGCGAAACAAAAGATGTATGGGATTGGAATCATTACGGATGTTAACACATGAGCAAAAACTGTTCTCCTGACGTATTTAAATAAATAATACTTAATTGTTTCTGTGATTTTATCTTTTAATAAATATTTTGTAAATTTAAATATTTCATATGGAAAGGGTTAAAAACAGCCATTTTTAAAATCTTCAGAGTTCTGTAGGTTATGATAAATGTTGATGTAGGTAGATAAAATTTTGTATTTAAGTTAGGCAGTCGGCAGGTTAAAAATAATACATAGTATGCATTTCGATATCTAGGGGCCGTTCAAATATTACGTAAGCACTAAAGGGGCGAAGGGGGCTTTTGATTTTCTTATTTGGTGATTACGTCAACAGTAATTATTTAGTTTTTCCACATATTACCTACACATTGTCTGTGCTTGAAAACGAAAAACTATTATTTTTGAGAGCTTTGCTTACTTCTGCTGACAAGGGGTGGGGGGTGGGGATTGTTATTGCAGTAAATTTTCTTACGTAATTATTGAGCGGAATCCAGAGATTTCTATTTTCCCGTAAAGATGAAATGATTACACTCACGCTCTCACAATGATCACACATGGGATCTAAGTTTTTGTTTGAAAATATTCCGTAAAGTTCAATCAAGCAGAATCGATTATTAACAGAGTCAGTCTCACATAAAAAAATCCTTATTTCCGTTACCTCTCTCTTCTGGAATGAATATTCCAATTGTAATTTGCAAGTTGCAATATTAAGGTCTAGTCTTTCAAAACGAACTAATTTTAATGAAACTAGACAAAATACTGTAATAATATTTGGAAAGGTGGAAAAAAAAGTAACCTTGAAATGAGTTCTCATTAGCTCTAAATACAAAACCAATTAAATTGACTGTATAAATTAAGTACTATTTGTTCATATCAACACAATATTTTACTTTAGTTTGAAAGGTGATAGAGTTAACTACTTTGTATGGTGAGATAATTGTTACTACTTTTTTGCTTATGTGTATTGAAGGAATATCGGCTTAAAGCGATTAATTAGGTAATTAATATAAGACACAGTTTTAAACAGAAAGTTTCACACTATAGGATGTGGGCAGCCTAAGACATTTCTTTGGGAAATAGTTTCTTTAAATAGTGTCTAAAATGGATCCAGCGTCAATAGTGGCGCAAACATTAACCATCCAACGGTCATTGAGCGTGATCGCAGCCACCCTCGCTCTTACTGCTTATTTATTCCCGAAACAGGCTCAGATTTCTGGTAAGTATGCAAACATTTTCAATTGTGCAATTTAAGCAATAATGGCTTATCTCATATCATGTTTTAGATCTGAAGGAATTCGACATAATAATAGTAGGCGGCGGATCGGCAGGATGCGTGCTGGCGGACCGACTTACTGAAGACGGTCGCTTCTCTGTGCTGCTCATAGAAGCGGGTGGCGACGCTCCCCAAGAAGCTATTGTACCCCCATTTATTAATTACAATATATTAGAACAATTGATTAAATTCATGCAATTCAAAAAATGCGTTGCAAGCATGGCAAAAACACCAAATCTTAGTTTTTTTAAATAAGATTTTTGAAAGGTGGCGTAGTCGCATAAGTTGGGCACTATAATGAATCACAATATGAATTCTACCTACATATTTAGTATATATGTATTTTACTATTTACATATATACGTATATTCCATATCCTCAATTGCATCACTGAAAATCAGTGGTGTGGTCAAGCCTTTCCCGAGAGTACACAGCGCGTACTTAGGCCAAATGAACACGCGTAGTGCGTGTTATTATTATAGATATATTTTAATTGAAATTTAGTTTTATCTTTTTTTGTTCATGTTTTGTGTGCTAATAAATGTTTCTTTGTTAGTTTCTTTAAATTAGAATGAATTAGAACGTATAGAGTCAAATTTCAACAAAACTCAACGCAGACGAAGTCGCGAAACTACTCTATATACCCCTATGCTGAAGTGTCCAATGTCTGACGTGCAAATATCTATTAATTGGGTTAATATGCAGATAATGTTTGAGCTTAAATCATGGTTAAGTGCAAATTATTGTAAACTATTTAAAGCGAGAAACATAAATTGTGATTTCAGTTGCCGAGCCTCTTTCCGTATTTGCCACATACAAAGTACGACTTTAACTACACATCGAAGATTGATAACTCAACGTACCAAACCCATAAAATCCGTGCGCTCAATTTGACCGCTGGCCGAGTCCTAGGCGGAGGCAGCAGCGTCAACTACATGGCGTACGTCCGCGGCTGCCCTGACGACTATTGGTGCTGGGCTAAAGATATCGGTGACGACGACTGGGGATGGGACAAAGTCTTTCCTTTTTTTCTTAAAAGTGAGAAGATCGTGAGTCCGGAAATTCTTCACTCACCCTACAGGACTTATCACGGGACTAAAGGGTTCTTAAAGGTTTCTAGGGAAAATCGGTCAGATATCGAAAAGTACTTGAGAAGCTTCGAAGAAGTAGGAAAACCGGTGGTTTTCGATATCAACGGTCCCTCCAGTACCGGCTACACCCCACTATTGCTCACCATCGCAGACGGAGTGCGCCAAACGACGGCTTACACTAACTTAGCGAGAATAAAGAAGCGTCCCAATTTGTTCGTAAAGAAAAATAGTTTTGTTACAAAAATTGTTATTGACGATGACAACGTTGCGAAGGGTGTCGAGTTTGTGACAGAAGACGGGAAGACCCTGAAGGCTATAGCGAGGCGCGAGGTTATCGTGTGTGCGGGCACAATCAACTCTGCGAGGTTGTTGATGGGGTCCGGCATCGGGCCCCGACACCATCTAGACGAGTTCAACATTAAAGTGAAGAGCGACCTGCCCGTCGGCTACAACTATCACGACCACACGACGGTAATCTTATCTATCAAGACGGAGGAGAGTTCCGGCACTCCGCCTGCTCCCGACCCACACATACTTCCGTTTCCCGCTTTCGGTGGCTATATTGCGTTGAACGAATCGCAATCATGTCCGGATTACCAAACCTTAGTTTTTACGGTTCCGAACGACTCGCCCGGCCCGATGCAGCTCTGCGCGTTCAACATGGGCTTCGAAGACGATATTTGTCAAAATCTCTTCGATGCCAGTAAAGGGCGAAACTCATTGTTCGTAAATTTAGTTTTGCTGCATCCTCGTTCACGGGGGCGGGTCAAACTGCAGAGCGACGATCCGTTCGCCGCGCCAGTGGTGGAGCCGGGCACGTTCGCAGACAAAAGGGACCTCGACGATTTTGCGAAGTACGTTGCAGACTTTGTTGGGGTTGTGAATTCATCATATTTCAAAAGTATAAAAGCGGAGGTTGTGGATTTACCAGGGCCGAGATGCGCGAACTTGGAGGGTTTGGACTACTGGCGTTGTTACGTCTTGAGTAGCATGTCGACGCTGTGGCACTATGTTGGAACGTGCTCTTTGGGCCCCGTGGTGGATTCGTCACTTCGTGTGCGAGGCATACGTCATTTGCGTGTGGCAGACGCGAGCGTTATGCCGAAAGTTGTGGGCGGCAACATTAACGCACCTGTTATTATGGTCGCCGAGAAGGCAGCGGACATCATCAAACGACAAAACCCCAAATAAATAAATGTCGTAAAACATCCTTTAAAATAAATAACTTCCAATACCTAATATACTTCATCAAAACTATCGCAGAAAATCAAATATCGCAAAACATAATGTAAATTACATGTTTAAGAAACGAAATTAAAAATTATAATAACCTGATCATTATTAGAAAATAGTTTTAATTTAACAAGGCAAGGACATTTAATTTACTGATACATTTGTATAATTATAAATATTTAACAGCGAACAGTTAACCTTGACTGACTCCAATATGCTGTACCGGTCGGTTGTTATGTAATAAATGATAATGTAGAAATGTGGAAATAAAAAACAACGTTTCGGGATGCAAACACCGTTTAATTATCTAAAATAAATAAGAAAAATCAATTAAATTTTTACTATTACATATAACAAAGCATAAATCTAATGTAATCTTTTGAAAAAGCTGTTTACATTTAAATTATATAGTTGTTTGAAAATAATGACCGCCACTCGTTCATAAATAGCATAATTTAAAACATTCTTATTGATTAAGTTTTACTTTGGTCGCTAATCGACAATCGACATACATCTCGATGCTAGTCAACAGTGAGAAGTCTGAATGTCCCGGGCATTCCTGCATACTCCTGGCTGAAGTCCCCTTTCGGCCGAAGGCTTTCGTCGATGGTAGCCTCCCGCATCATACGCATATATTCCATGTTGCTTTTAGACGATAGCTCGGTGAGCCAATCCTCTGGAATTTCATTAATTATGTACTACTGCTAGGGCACAATCTTTTTTTTGTCCAAGTCAGAGGTATTTTATTGGCAGGATGAATTATTAAGATTTTTTAAAATATACCTCTTGATATCATTGTATGCTTGTTTGCATTGAATAAGTTCAAAACGTCTGGACTATTAATTACTGTCACTATTACATGTTTTCTCGATTTCTCTCATATTTCTCTCATCTAGCCGTGCAAAGCTGAGCCTGGACGCTAGTATATAATATAAAAATTACCACATAAACAGAGAATCATTGATATGTTTGCAGTCGTATAACATCGTATTTATAAAAAAATACTGCGATACAACACTTATATGGTCAAAGATTTAATATAAGAATGTTTTTATTAAATAACTAAACAGGTATTAATGATAAATGTTTGAAACACGTGTATTTTAATTACAATAATCTAAAAAGTCCATGAATTATTCATTAAATACACGAAAAATTTAAGTTACTATGACATTTTATTTAGTAAAATTGTTCAAAACAAAAAATTCGAGTAGTAAAAAACTGATTATCGTACTGACTTTAGCTTAAATTAACTTTTTTATCATTAGCGCACTATAAGCCTCAATTATTGTCTGAATCAAGTATAATTGCTACTAAATTTATTTTAAGTCAATTTTTCGCACTTAAATCAAAACAAATAGCGGAAAATGAAAAAAGAAAAGAATAAATAATAACCACCTTGTATATCTCTAGCGCATCTCTCTTTACCACCGACATCTTGAGGAAGGTACTCTTCACCGAGAGCTTTGGCCAATTGATCAACATCTGAGTAATGATGGAGACGAGAAATGAGCTTGGGCTTCAAGAATTGTTTCAGAATTCCTATAAGAGTATCTATCAGCTTAGACTCTGACACCAAGTGGATTCCCTTTAAACGTATGCCGAAGCAATCCTATAAACAATAATACATATTATACTTGTCATTGGGCGAATTGATACATCATGTGGACTGAAAAGTTCGCAGGCTAACATAGAAAAAACTTCTTATAGTTGCCTTGGAAAGCGATGCAACGATTATAGCGGTCGTCCCTTTTTATAGCACAATATGTCTTTAGCTTCAAAACAGGGTTCAGTTTCGGCGATTACCTGTTCATTACAAAATTTTCGTTCAGCGAGCATTCTCTTGAGTTCTGAGAACAGGAAAAAGTCTCTAGGGGCCAAATATTTCCAAAAAAACGGATTTATTGCGATAGAAAAGCTTCAAACACTGCTCAGAATCATCAATTCGTTGTTGTTTTTGGTCAATTGTAAGCTCGCGCGACACCCACATCAGCTAGGATATGTTAAAACGTTCCTTTGATATCTTAGCTATCTTAATCAACTTCACTTTTCGGTTATCTAAAATTTTTTGTGGAGTTTTTGATGTAAAAATAAAAAAATACAACATGAAATTCCTTTTTATCCATTTTTTTGAACTAACTAAAGTTCCTTCACTCATATATCTCACATACTTTACAGTACGACACTTGTAAAATTTATGTGTCTTTTGAAGGGTAGGGTAACTAAAAATTATATTAAATTAATTCTAGTAGCGTCATCTATGAATGAGCCTACGAACTCTTGAACGACCACTTGATTTATAGTCAAATGTTATTAATTTTCAACTGGAGACATAAATACTAAGCTTCAAAAATACAAATTTACATTATCTAAGATTTGGTTTTATTTGCCACAACCCAAACACCAACACGAATTTTTATCAAGTAGGTTTTCTTTCATCGAACAAAGATTTCGATCAAAAATGCGAGTTTCCTAAAAGTGTATGAATCTATTTCTTACCACTAATATGGTGTATATCTGACGAAAATCAGTGAGGTTGAAGGATTTAAGGAAGTCAGTCATATTGGCTTGTCGCAAGTCCAAGACGTAGTGGTAGCTATTCACATAGTCGTGGGCCTTTAGGTACTCTGAAACCTGACCGCGAATATTAATATGTATTGCAGTAATTAAAAAAAAATATTTCTATATCTCCTACAATTGGGAAAAAAGTATTTAGAAATATAATTGTAAAGAGGTTCGTGCGTACGTTTCTGGCGCCGTAAACATATTCGAGAATAGGTTCTGACAGAATCTCAATCTTGTGTTTGTTTGCATTTTTGAATGTGCACATTGACACTAGTAGTACGGTAAACTTATGAAAAAAACTACAACAAACCGAACTGCAAACTCGATAACTGTCAGACATAACAAGATGTCAGTGAAACGGACTGTGGAAAATTTAACAGAGATATTTAAGAAATTAAAAGAAGCACAGTACCATCGCCTAAAGTACTGAGGATGCTGTTGCTACGGCATTCTCAGTACACAGTATAGTAGGTGATCTGTAGGTACACAGATCTTAATGTAATTCGTATTTGAACGATGACTTGTGATCAAAGATAACATAGAATATAACCACAAATAAATGTTCGGTGACATTAACAGCGGAACAAATTTACGTAGTTAATTAGTGATATAGTACGAGATCCGGCTGCAGGATTAGTGCGCTCATCTGTTATTTGCTAAAAATTTCGGGAAAACATTTCGTTCACTTGTTATTTAAATAAAATAAAAATCAATGTAAATAATTTCATTAAAAATACTAGCGGCCAAATTTTGAGAGGCACCTTAGTAATATATTCTCCTAATTATAAATGTACATAAAAATTTCGTTTTTAGCAAATAACAGATGAGCGCACTAATCCTGCAGCCGGATCTTAGACCAATATAAATCAAATCAAATTAAAATATGCTTATTGAGAGTCAAAAACGTTTACATAATTCGCGAAAGAGCAAGACTACGCCATCCTTTCGCAAAACTACCAGGCCTTGTTCTGAGAAGAACGGGCAAGAAACTCAGCAAGTTTTACCCTCCCTCTACATTACAATTATTTAAAGGAAAATGTCATAAACCACAACGTCATTAAAGTTACATAAGTAAAAAAAAAACTGTTTTGTGATTTACCACATTCACCATTACACACATATTCACAACACTTCAAAGATAACAAAACAAATTATAACAATAAACCTAACTAGAACTATTGCTAAGCGTTTTTGTCTTCTAATTCCAAAAGTATAGTTTCGGTGGCAGCTTTCGATTGCAATATGATGCACATTTTAAATTAGTTAATAATTATATTTTACGTATATTCCGAATTATTTGAAATACTTACACAGACTCCTACTTTGTAATGTTGTAGAAGTTTTTGCGAGGTAATTGTGGAGCTTCCCGCTTTGACCACTATCACTCTATGGTGTTCTTTGTTAAGATTTGGCATAACGGCTAGACATCTGAAATATAAAACCTACAATTAACTAACTTGGAGACGCAAACTTTAAGATTGCTAAGCTAATTTGTTTCGGAACCATAGTTATATACTTACTTAGGTAATAATGTTATAATTCTCAAGATAGACGAAACAAAACGCTCTCACATGCAGATGTAAAGTGTAATATGAAAAAAAACGTGTTTGAAGGTATACTTCTTTGGCGTAACAAGATAAAAAAATTTATTTTTTAGAATACGTTTGTAGACACTAACAATAGAAAAAGTTATTAAATCCTAGTTGAAACCTAAAAGAACTTGTCCCTCTCGAGATAGAAATAATTTCAAAACGCTTTTGTCAAATCCAATCTCTTTATACATTTAGAAATTTGTATTTAAAGTTAAGGCAGATATTTATGTTCTAAACTACCACAAAAATATATGTGTATTATGTATTAATATATATTGTACTGTCTCCATCTCATTTATAGTCTTCGAGCACTTTAGAGGGACGTTTCCCTCTTCGAATTTCATTTGTTTCGTCCATTTTAATGGTTACTTCCAATAGAAACGATATAATATGTACTAAGTAATCATGATATTTTACAATTAACACTATGTTTTTTATCACATTGGAACGGGTTTTCTCGTATTGAAAAACATTATTTTGGTTTAAATAAACACGACTCTGAAAAACACTACGCCATGACAGACAATGCAACTTTTCCATAAAACAGAGCAAGCGACAACTAGCGGCCCAAGCGAACACCCTGAACAGATATTAAGGGGGTCGGGTTTTTGTGACGGTGTGCGAGTATCGTTTTTTTTTGTGACGGCGTGCACGCACATCTTAAAAAATTTACTCTCATCATTTTTCCCTAACGCGCCAAAAGAAATGGTAATTTTAGATCTTTGGAAAACTAGTTAAGTCTTTACGTAATATTTATACTGAACATACTTCGACTACTATTTTACATTTAATCATTCAAAAATATATGTAACCTGAACTTTAAAATAAACACGCAATATCTAAATGGCATTTTAATGTAACTTTTAGTTTCCTCACATTAATTAATGTCTAAGACATTAATTGTAATTAATATTATAATCAGGGATATAAAAAATGATATAAGCTTTTTACGTCCGAATTAAAGCAAAAAACCATTAACATCTTCTTTAATATTTATATATAAATAATTTATTATATTGCGTCACCTGCGCATAAGTTTATTGTTCTCTATGTTTTACAATTATAATAAAGGCAACCTTATTTTGCCTGATATGTATCGTTGATATTATTTTTTTGTTCATATCATATTTCCCGATTAAGATAATGTTTGTAAGCAAAAACGCCCGTAACTCTAGTTATAAGAAGCTTATAGCTACATAAATTCCTGATATTCCCGGTCTAACTCGCAAACTAACCTTTGCCTATTTGCCGAGCTTAAGCTCCACATTTAAAAAACCAACCACTTGACAACTAATTTCGTTTCTAATTACTACACAGTAAACAATACAGTCTAAGTAAAATGCAAACAAGTCAACGCTATTAGGCTGGTATCTAAAACTAAATATGACTGATTTTAATACGTAAATTTTGGGCGTCGTGTAAGCTTAAGAAATATATAAGAGGTGGGTGAATAGCTCTGCTGGCTCAAAAAACCTACGTATACCGCTGTAACTTTAAGGGATTGACAGAAATATCAAATTTCACAAGTTTAAATAGCGGTTGTGGAGTCCAGTAATAATACGGAAGAATTAAGGCAATGAGTCTTACGCGTCTTCAATGGTTTCTGCGCATTCGGTTCTAATGTCCTCTATGGCAAAGAAATGTGGCCACAGATTCCTCATAGTGCACACTTTGTCAATCTGTCTCTTCGCTCGCTCCATCGATCCCTTTCCCACTACTATCGTATTTTCTAGCATATGTTCACCTGTTCAAATATATAATCGGTATGGGTATTAAGGCATGGGGATAGATTCATTCTATTCTATTGTATTTTGCTTTCCAACGTCTTTCATTCATATAAGTTTATTTGTAATTTTGTTATATTTTTATTTTAAACGTTTAAAAATTTGTAGTGTAATTACAATTTATTTAAAATTAAAAATAACTTTGGAATTATACAAATAGGTAAACATGTTTTTTTAAATATTAACCAATGACGAAACATAAATTACTCACTAAAGTCCTTCTTTTTAAAATGCGGTTGCTGCTGTACCCACTCCTTAAGGATCTTGACAGCCGCCTTCATCTCTCCCGGTTTGGCCAGATTGATCTCATTCCGTACAACTTGAAGTGTGTCCGGGTGAGACCGTAGCAGTTTGTTCACCGGTATAGCCTCCATCTCAGAGCAAAGATTACTGCGAGCAGCGCCCAATGTATAACATATAAATAAGCTTACGCAACTGGTGACCTCTAATAATTCCGTGTATTAATTAGTGGCTTTATACATTTATTTGACGCTTTATTCAAGTATTTGGTAACAATTTTTAAATTTTATTTTAAAGTATTATATATTCTCATTTCTTTTTACATACGAAAGATTTTAAGACATAGTGATCCTTGCGAGGTCTCCTTCATCATATTATTTATAGATCTTAACCGACTTCAAAAGAATCATAAAGAGGAGGTTATCAAATACACGTATTTTTAAATATAATAAATGTAATAGAGCATTCACACTAATTTTCATTTTATAATTTATAGAAGGATCAAAAACTGTTTTGGATATACAAACTCGTCAAGTTAAATTTTTTGGAAATTCTATCTAAGTAGTTACCTGTTAAGTACAAGTTAAGGAACACTTACGCGGTTCAAGGCTAAGATTATAACAAAAAACAAATAAAAACTTCATCACACTTAAGAAATATTGTAAATTAACATTTGAAGCTTAGCTTTGCGTCATTTACATGACTTAAAAAAATACAAAAATGATGAAGTTACGAGTGGAAATAATATTTTAATCGAGCTACTTGGTTTTATGGAGAACAATTGAATATTACATGGAGTACACGGGATTTAGGTCTAAAAGATATTACGCTAGGTCTGGTGTAGCACAAGGCAGTACTTTGGGGCCATTAGAATTTTTGATAATGATGACCTGCCTGGAGTAGTCGAGTCTGCTGTGCCGAGATGATTTGTAAATTGTCTAGAAGTAGACAGATCGTTTATAGCCAGGAAGATTGTTTATGTTTGCAGCGTGATATTGACCGTGTAGTAAATGGGTGCGACAAAAATTAATGAAAAAACAAAAACTCTAACTGAATATCACAAAATTTGCAGTCATTTCTTACACCAGAGTACCCGATTCTTTTTAATTATGGCATAGGTGACTATGTCACCTACAAAAGTACCTGGGATGTATCCCCGGTACAGTTAAAAGGCGGTATACCGCCTATAGGGATTTTGGGTTCGTTTTGCGTATCGACAGGAAAAGAAGTAACGCAATAATTTAAGTCCCACATGAAAAGAAATAACTCAACGAGGATGGAATTTACCCATTTTACCCGCTTATGTATCCGACTTTGTTCGTTTTGGGTATGATTTGATACACCCGGCTAGGGGTAAGGAGGGATCTAACTATTACTCGGTATCAATTTAAAATCCTTACGGGTAGTGTGCAAGATGCAGATGTGTTAGAGAGGTTGGTGCTGCGAGTACCGATTAACCGCAATAGGAAACGACAAGTATTGCGGGCGGTGCCGCGGGCGCGCACTAACTTGCTCATAGATTCGCCACTTACACGTGCATTGCGCATACTTAATAATGTTGAGGTAAAGACTGACTTATTTAGTTTAATACTGACTAAATTCATTAGAGTTACACTATCCATTATTTTTTAGGGGAACTATGGTTAAATATAAAATAACCTGTTAAAATGTAACGAGTATTTTAAAGTAGTCAAAGTGTTCATTATTTATTGTAAACCAGACAATGGCGGAAAAAGTAGTAGGTCCACAGAGAAATCATAGTGATGATTGATCTGACGTGACTTAGACAACTATAGAGTGATACATTCTATAATCTGAAGGCGCCAAATTTAAATTTTATACAATCTAACAGGTTTACGTTAATTTTCGTACATTCTGCCCTATTGTACTACATAGTCACTACTGTAACATAGCCAAATTTATGAATGCGTCTCTAAACACAGGTCTCGTACCTGATTGGTGATCTGATTGGAAAACTGCTGTTGTTGTGCTAGTATTTATGAAAGGTAACAAGTTGTCAGCCTCAAGTTTAATTTAGCTAATTCTTATCCGACGAAAACATTTTACCCTGTGAACAACATGGATTCGTACCTATATACTAACGTATATAAACGATTCTATAAAATTGGGTAAAATTTTTCGACCAAGGTAGATATAGTCTACTTAGATTTTGAAAGTCTACAATCTACAGTAGGTACCAGATATCCGAGGAAAAATATAAACTTTGATTACGAATTACCTAACGGAAAGGGAGGGGTTTTTAAGATCGCATAGGAAATACACCGTCCTTGACTCGTCCTTCTATCGGTCTGTCCTTTGATCCTTTACTTTTTATTTTGTTCCCGACAGATCTGAAGAACTCACTAGATTTTACCCGCTCTGTTTGCAGACATCACCATTCACCAGTATTTTATTATTTTTACAAAAATTATAATGTCTGAAAGCACTCAACTAAAAGGTAATCTTATTGAAACTTATAAAATCCTTACAGGCCACTATGTTTCAGGAATTGAAAAGCTCTTTCTATTAAGTGAGAACACACATTTGACGGGAAATTCTTTAAAACTGAAAACCCCTCAATAATTTAAATTCCCTAAAAAACTTTCTCCCAAACCGAGTAGTGGCTTTTACTCTCACTACTGGAAAAGTCTTCCGGAAAGTGTGTCTCTGAAAAGGCAAATATTGGATTTGCGCTTTACAACTGGCTCACGATGTTTTCCTTTATCGTCCGAGCAAGTGTTAAATTGCGCAAATTCTTGCGACCAAAGCTGCTCTTTCTTGTGGGACAACAGATAAATAACAAATAACACAAAGTTATATGTGGCAGTTTGTATATTTTAGAATATAATTTACAATAATTTTTGTACATGTTAACCTTGCTCGTGTCCAATATAATAAACTGCAAACATTTGTAAGAGGAAAAATTTACTATTGATATGGAATTTTTCACAAAATATTTTGTTTACTCTCACAATTAGTTTCACAAGCGAAAAATGTGCTTGAAGATTTGCATTTTACTCCGTTGAAGCACAAACAGTTATCGATACGTCAAAAAATGAATTTGAAAATGTCACTTTGCGTTTCGATTGTTTTTTAAAACATGAAAAGTACATTTTTTATACGACCGCGTATTTCAGTTTTAAAATTCATGTTTTCTAAAAGAATAGTGACCATCGCCAAATCCATTCCCCGTAATACACGCAATGCAAGCCAAATGTTCGAATGCAAATTTAGTCTTAACTGCCTTAGAAATACGATATACAACAGTTCGGCAGTGATTGTTAGCGCACCCCATAATATATAATGCCAATAATAATTTAATAAAACATTCCGTTAACTCTTAAAAATACATTAAAGTGATACAAACTGCATAATAATTTGGAATAGAGGTCCGTTCGGGTTTGGGGCGTCGATTATTCGGTTTGATTTCTTTGCGTCGGACGCAACGTACTCGACCGCGATTAAAAACGAGTCGTACTCAAAAGAAGACTACCAGAGCCTTATTTAAGAAACAACTCCATGCAATTTCACGAGAGAAGACGAGCGCGTCCCGACGCCACTAAGTCCCGATATGGCGGTGTGTCGCCGTCGTCTTAAGCGTGCAATACCCTGATTAGGAAGAATCCTTTTTATATCAATTTTCATTTTTTAATTTTTTTTTAATTTTTGCAAATATTTTGAAGATTTTTTTTGAATTTTTTATTTTTGTTTTTTATTGTTTTAGGTATTTTTATTTTTTTATAATCAGTTTTTGAGATTGAGCATTCTCTCATTTTCATAATTATCAAAGTTTACTTACGATAAACTTTTAAAATTATTTATTGTACTTCACGCGAGGGGGACGTCCCTCGAGGTAAAACGAATATAAAACTTAACGATTAAATCAATTGCCGGGCGCGAATACGAAAATCGACGCGTCGATCGACCTCGACGGTCGACAATCTGATAAAACTCATCACTTTTAAAAATATATTTCTAACGTCTCATAAAAGGTACCGCACTTCTACGAGACGGGCACAATGACAATCAACACACAGAGATAGCCATTCTCACACAATCCTTATCGTTTCAAAGATATGCCTCGTTCGCGTTTCATCTCCGGGGCGACGTCGAGGACGAGCGTCATAAAACATTCAAAATTTAGCACCAGAATATTATCGCGGCCTATATCACAGACGGACGGACGGACGAGTCCGCGCCCGAAGGAATGTCGAAGCGTGCGCTCTATTTTTGTCATTTCTCGTTTACATCAAAAAAAATACTATTCACATAAAACATAGACAACGTTAAAACATTTCAATATCTCTTTCATTCTTATTATTTACATTAAATAACTTACAAATAAATATAAATATTAAAAAATTAACGGGACGCAATCAAGGCGCGACCGGAGGCCGAGTCGCAACCGCGAGGCGATCCGGACGCGGCGCCGCGCGAGTAACATATGTCCGCGGAGGCCCCGCCCTTCGCCCCGCTCTACGGGATCGGTCGCGTATCACAGCCTACGTTCTCGAACGGCCTTCGGGCCTCGACGGCCTTAGGGCCGAGCCGGCCTCATCGGGCCTGAGGCCAGGCCTCGGCCAGGCGGGGGTGGGGGGCCAGCCGTCGATAGCTGTCGCGGAAGGCCTTCACGATCTTCTCGAACGTCTCCGGGTCGTACACCGACCGAGCCGTGTTCGTCAGGTCGAAGGGCTCTGCGGACAACAATCGTTCCGGTTACGCTCGGCTCGAAGTGCGGGCGACCGGCTGGGCGTGCGCGCGCGCATTTTACCTTCGACACAGATGTGTTTCCACTGGTGAGGGTCGAGATGCGAGTAGCGGCACTCTGCGACGGGGATGCGTCTTCCGGCGCGGACCGACACCGCCATCTGGTCGTAGCTGGAAAATCATTTTCTCATTTTCAATAAACTTTTTATCGCGTCTAGAGAGCCGATCGAACCCTACGCAGGCAAAACATTAACATTCAGCGGTTCCGCTATCGAGATACACACACAGACACAGATGTGTGTCTGCTTAACTATCGGTGAGTGGAGGTCGAACACGCGAGTAACTCACGGGAATTCTGCGTAGTATTTGAGAAATTGCAGGAACAGTTCCCCTAGAGTGAGCCTATTCTGGGACCTCGAGGGCTTCTCACACACTTCTGGCACGCGAGGGAGAATCCACGGGTTCGTGCCGCCTGAAAGTCATCACCGACGATTAATATGGTCTATGGTTTTTACATAATGAAAAACTAATAAAATACATAAAGTAGTTACTGACACTGCAAAAAGTGGATGACCATGAGGGTGAGGGCGTACGAAGACAACGTGCGTCTTCTCGCGTCGTTGATGCGATGCGCCCGCGCCCACAGTTTGGCCACCGCCACCAGAGGGCGCACGCGCCAATCGCCTGCGGACGGCTATTTGGATCACGTTTATGTTGACAATTTAAATTATCATCCGACGACCGACCAACTCACTAAGAGATCGGAAATATATTTGATTACTAAGAAAGTGAATTTCTACCACTGATCACACCTTCCCAGGGGGTCAGCCTTCTGCCAAAGCAATTAAAGATTTAGTGAAAATTGACACGTTCAGATCGAAAATAATATTAACAATAACGCGTAATTCAATCCCCGCCCTGCATCGTAACGTTTAACAAATAGAAAAAAAAATCGTTACGTAATACTTGAATGCTCCCTTGATCGTCGAAACAGACAAAGTAAGCGTGTACCGATGGAGAAGGCGTAGAGCATGTTGGTATTCCGAATGCCCACCACGTTGTTGCAATTGAGGTCCACTTGCACCCCGGAGTAGGCGTCGCGGAACTTCAGGATGGGCACCTTGGCTTGAATCAGTTCCGCGTCTACATTAAACAAGTTATTTTATATTAGTTGACTCGAAGCCAATTTCAAAATAAAAATTATTAAAAATTATTATATCTATAACGACCAAAGGTTTATTTCGAGTTTTCATTTTCTTTTAATAAATAGGAAGAGTAAAACGAAGAATACAAAATCAAATAATACTGACCCGGATCAAATGCCCGGATGAAGGAGAGAATATAATCCAGGTGCAGAAGTGCGTGTGCCCGCGGCTCCACGTGACCCATCGAACGCACATACAGACACAGATCCATGTCTGACGACTCTAGACCGAAGCCCGTCATCGTAGACCCGACGACATATAAACCGTAGCGGGGAAATATTGTCTGCAATTACATCCTTTACAATTTATATAATGCAATAAAGTAACGAAAGCTACTTAATTTTATTAATTTGCACAGGTCAAAAAATTAAACGATCTACGAAATAAAATTAAGGACAAACATTTCTCTCCTGTAAGTCAAAATCCAAAACTTAGTTGATTATGGGAGTCCGACAATTTTGAAAAGCATCCCTCTTAACATTACTATTGACATATTCATATAAAAACTATATTTATTTTTTGAATAGTGTAACATAACTAACCCTAACGGTTCCATAGAGATATCTCCACAATTGCATCTTATTGTGGAAGGTGGCCTCTGTTTGCTGAGACTTTATAAACTTATCCCATATCTCCTGAGATAAGGTATCCCACTGGGAACCTGTCATATTTTAACAATAAAAATGTACAATACGATAAAATAAAAAGTAATCTTATAATTAACAATAATATTACGACTTATCTTACCATTAAGTAAGTCATCAGGAGCAAACTTTACTTCAAACGGATAGAATGAAGAGTTAAATCTGTCTATTGTTAACCTTCTTGGCCGGTGATCACGACGGTTCCTGGAACGCCATTCACGAGTCACAGTATTTGAACCAGAACTGCTTGAAGTGCGTTTACCATCTGCATCCAATATTAAGGGAAATTTATAAAATATCATAAAACTTGTTTTTTTTGTTGTGAAAAATACCAAGTCATTTGTTAAATAAGATGCGTTCAATTGAGTGAGTTACTGTTACTGAATTAGTTTAAAGACCATTTCATTTTTGACAGAAATAATCATTTTGTTTCTAATTTGAATGTCACAATTACGATGATTGTGATATGTAGCCTAGGTCTTTGAGCATACAAAAACATAACTTTATGTATTATATATATACTTATAAAAATACATATATATTTTTGTGGGTACATATTTACCAAAGCAGTTATGATTACTGGAACCAATTCTTATCTCATTAGATAACAAGGACATCACATTTTAAATAATATCTAATCTAATAACTTTAGTAAAGCTTACAATATATCTTGGTGCTACTATAGAAAATTATTTAATAGTTTTGGAGAACATTTTTGATATGAAAAGAAGTGTTTAGATGAGGGTAGTGAATGTAAAATGTAAAAATTGTCAGAAAGCAACCATGTGCAAAATTTTTACCATTTTCACTTGATTTATTAGATCCATTTGATCCTGAGGCATTGCTAGATAGGCTTGAGTCATCAGATTCATATCCAAATGGGGAATTAATATCTTTTTGATGTTGCTTGTCTCTGCCCAGCCATCGCCTCTGGGCCTGCCGCGGCGATCCTCCTCCGCGATTAGGCACCCCAACCATTTGTGCCAGAAAGTGCTGGCGATTATGACATTGTCGGTCCAAATTCTGTCCCTGACCGACGCGTGGAGCACTAAAGCCATTTTTCCCATGGCACATCACTGACTCACCTTCACTCATATTGCCACGATATCTGCGAGTAAGTAATGTTATTTAAATTGTAGTTTACAAATAAAACCGGTGAACAAGATGAACCTTCTCATACTAACCTTTTCAAATCACTAAATGTAATGACGCATTAAATTGTGGGCACCTATTGCGTCATAATAAACACAGTATTAATAATTCAGTTGCGACGTCGAAATTGTATAATTTACACTTATTTATTAAACCACCGAAATCTGAGACGACCCAGTCAGGCTTATTCCCTTGTACGTCGATGGCGGTCTGTTAAGAATCAGGTTGTAGTCACAGTAATGTTCTAGTCGCTTCTCTTCTACCTACACAACCTAATTGAAATATTTTTTTCGACGCCTTAATTAATAAATCTACCCACAAAAATCAGAAAATCCTCAAAATATGAGAAAAAATTCCGCCATGACTTATTGAAACGACATTTGCGACATCTGGCGGTTACTATCAAAAACTACACGTGACAGCAAGTGACTTTTTATTTCAAATTATTACATTCTAATTTTAGCCAGAATGATATAAACTAAATTATTTTGCTCAATTGGTTATTTAAATTTAAGAGTTTTATTTTTATTTTTAGTCATTATAATTATAATTATAAATTCCGTTTCTCCTACTTTATTCATACTTTTTAACAAACTCGACAAATGTATTTAATTGTAGCTGGCAAGTGGTAGGACAACGCCGTCATGCATTAATAAATTTGACAACTAACAACTGACAACATACAATTTGTAATGTTTTATATTTCAAATGTCAGAATATACTTCATTTATATAAATCTGTATCGTACTACTACTAAAATTATGTGACTTATTGATATTTTATAATAAAAATTAAATCGTTTCTATTAGCAATTCGAAAAATTATAGATTTATTTTGTGAAAATGTCCTTATGGCCACACGTTCACGTGTTAATTTAAGTTGTGATGACGTCAAGCGAGGATAATGTAACCCTAAAAGTGCAAGAAGTAACCAACAACAAACTTTGTTTTATTTTATCATTACTATCAGTTCGAAAATTGTATTGATATGTCACACTTCGGAGATTTTATGGACGGTGTTCCCGTTAAAATATCTGAGAAGTACAAGCGTCCTTCACCAATCGAGTTACCCTACAATGTAACTGAATGTCCTTTACGTGCACAGAATGTTGTCGATTGCGTAAATTACTGCTCTACATTTGAGCGTAACATTCTTGCAAAACTTAAAGAACTAAGAAGTGCAAAAGAGACCAAGAAAAACGAAAGAAGACATCGTCTTCACCTTCTTGAAGAGGCGAAGCAAAAGAAACTTGATGCTATTGCTGCAGCTGAGGCTGAGGAGAAGCTAAAGCAACTGAGCATTTCTGAAGTGTCTTATCCCAGCACTGAGGAGATAAGCCCACTCTCACCTGATGATAAGCCAGAGCATAACTGTGATACCTCAGTTCAAGACAATATTGTTACTAATAATTCTGATACAAATAAATCAACTAGTGTAGATATTAACTTAACAAACATTACCCAGGACTCTCAGTCAAGCATCTTACAACCTATCCAAGTTCAGTCCAACTATCAGCAATGCAGTTTGCTTGATGATCCTGATCCACTTCAAGAATTGAAATTTACTACAAATATAACAAAGGCACAGTATTCACACAATGTGGAAACTTTGACTTTTAAAGATTTTGAAAATGACACATCCAGCCCATTTGATAATGTTGAACTGAAAACTATAAATGATATGGAATTATTAGCTCAAGTTTTACAAAGTCAAAGAGATTCAAGTGTTAGTTGTCAAATGCAAAGTTACCCTGATCAGGTGTATTCAGGATATGCCAACTGTGCAACACAGGCCCAACTTGATGGAGGTACATACCTTCCCAATGCTTACCAACAGACAATACAAGATCCAAACATTATGTATTCATCTCCTCAACACTTTCCTGTCTCTAATGGATTCTATGTTCAAGCAGACACAATCTGTGATAACACTTTGCCTTTAGACAATGTTTATGTTCCCAATTATCAATATTATGTTCCTACTCAAACATATGCTGATCAATACTATAACGCATCTACATCAGCAGATATCAGCCAAGTTGCAAATGGTTCCTACATTCCTCAGCCTTACTATTATCAGTATCAACCATATTATGATCCAAAAATAAATACTGAACAGAATAATGTAACATCAAGCAGTTCACAGAATATAAAATCTAGATCAAGAAGTGTGCCAGACATTGTGAGAGAGTTGAATGAAGAATTAGCTACAGCTAAATTAAGGGCTTATGAAAGATCTTGTAATGTTAGCCCAGCACCAGTAACCATTGTGCCTAGGTCTTCCTCTACTAGTGAGAAAAGAGAAAGTAGGAGAAGGAAACGAGAGCAGTTACCAAACCCATTTGAAAAGTTTCCACCTCAGTTGCAAAGTGTTTGTCAAAAAATTCATGGGATGGGCTTCCCACTAGATCGGGTAGCAAGAGTATGCAGTTTAGTTGGTGACAATGATAAAAAGGTTAGTTTTAAACTAAAGAGTAACATAATCAGTAAATATAGAAAGAATCATTCACCCTTGTCATTTTGTTAAAATTATCTGCAACCTGATATTCATTTTTTTTTAAATTCTATTGAAGGTCATACCTATCTAAGAATAAATATAATGTCTAACTAGAAGCACTAGTTTGCAACATTACAATGCAAACTAATATGTCAAAGTATTGTATCCTAATAAAAGAATGTTATGCTAGATATTATTGTTAGACAAAATTTTCATACACAAAGTATTAAAGATCTGATCCAATAATTAATTAATATACTTAAACATAATGCTTACGATACTTGTGTGTATCACAACTCCTCAAAGAAAATGTAAAGAAATCTTTTTTAATTCCAGATAATAGAAGGGCTTCTGATTGTTGGAGAGCTCATGGATCTAGGTTTCTCTGAAGGAAAAGTATCAGCAGCTCTTGCTAAACATGAATTTAATAGAGATAAGGCATTAGATGAGTTAGTTTCATAGCAATGTATGCAACATAGCTGGTTAATGAATTTAATGAGACTACTGGGCCTTAGATATGATCTATCATTGAGGTATTGTATGCCAATATTATGTCTTGATGACTGGTGGCTTATTGTTACACTGGCCCTGGAAGATTTAAGGCAGTTGCAAAGATGCTGTGGTAAGATGAAACGGCTTGAAATAGTGTTTCAAAGAAGTGGTTTGGACAATAGTGGTAAAGAATATTTTATATCTTTTTATCTCTTATGACTTGCCGGACATTTGGGAAATCTATATCCACTTTTATGCTTCCCAGACATGTTATATATTATATAAAGTTTTAGTAGCAAATTTTCACCCAAGAGTTAGTGTTACATTTAAACAAAGATATTGATAGGTAAATGGTTGGTTCATCTTCCAAAAACAAAAATTATTTAATGCTATACTTTTATGGTTTTAGTGATTACAATATAAATATCAACGGCTATACTACTATTAGATCTCATTTCAATTAATTTCCATCGGAATGCAGTAATATAATTTCTCTTTAACAAATTTTTATGTTTGATAAGGAAAATATTTGATATCCACCAAGTTTGACAGGACTTTTAACACACATGAACCTATAAGCTCACCTTAAATAGTGAAAACAAGTTATCATTTTACAATTTATGGTCACTGACAGTTGCATTGCAGTGTCTTTATCTTTAAAGTTATATTCCTTCCAGGATTTGATGAGTAATCAACTCCTAAACCATAATATAATACTAAATGGTTCATTTTAACAAGTTGCAACGAAGTATATTAATGAGACTGTTCATTTTTTATGATTATGTAAACAACTCTATTTTAATAAATTGCCACTTTGTACTTTCTTTTGTTGCCATTCGGGGTCCTGAGCGCCTAACCCAACAAATAATGATTAAGTCGGTCACTGAATTGGGACATTTAACACTACTTGAATTACATTTTTGCAGTTGTATATTTTTTAATTCCAGATTTAGCAATATAAGCATATTATGTTATGGTAAACATATTTTTTTGTTATTTTGTAAATAATAGTACAATTCATGGTAATATATCTCGTACATTGATTTTGATTTAAAATAATGAATTTATTTTACAATAATAGGTAGCCATTCATTCAATATTATTTATTATTCAGTAGAAAGTAAGTATTGATTGGTAATTTAAACAGATTCTTTAAAAAAAATATTTGTAATAGAGTAAGATCAATTTAAATTATTCCGTTGTTAAATAGTTTTTTCGTTTGTTTTGTATAATGTATATCAGCTTAAATGCCAGATAAATTAGACAAAAGATTGGCTCTGACAGGCATTACGTCAGGCTTTGCTTAGCAAAAAAGGGAGTTTAGTTCTTATTAATTTGCTAGTGTTGAAGTTTCGTTACATACTTACTCGTCGGGGAGGTGCATTATACCATCATTGTATTAGTCAATTATTAATAAATTGAAAATTTTGGGAATAATTTAACTTGCACGCACTTGGGTCAGATGCCTACCTACATGAAAAACTCAGCCTAAGGATTCATTGTTAATACTCACGGAACTTAATATCCGAAATGTTTTATAACACGTTTAGCCGAAAACGTAATAAAAAGAAAATGTTTGCATTTGTCACCCACCTGCCTTGGTCAGCCTGAGCCAACTTTAGTGATACTGTCTATGCTTGGGTATAGGGCGCGTGATTTTCTATAGCTTAAATATATTTAAATTATTGTATAAATAAAAGAGTTATTTTCATACACTTGTCTTATTTATCATACCGAGACTACGCGCTAATATATAAATAGTTCTGCACTACCTGCATGAATATTTCTTCTCATGAAGGTTTAAGTTTAAGCTTGGAATCGCAGCGAAGAGCAAAAGTAATACGCCACTCGTATTTGAATATTCAATTAAAAATAAATCAATGGCGCTACAACCTTTTTAGGTCTGGGCCTCAGATTTCTGCATCTGTTTCATGATCATTTGGTAATCTAATAGGCAAGTAGGTGATCAGCCTTCAGTGCCTGACGCACGCCGATTGCCGAATCTGAATATTCAATTATCGAAATTAAATTTTCCAAAACGTATAACGTGAGCTCAGGCGTCTAAAGTTTCAGTTGGTACAGATGAGTTTTGTTAAGATTCTCATCATCGAAATAGGTAACACTTTTTCCTGCAGTTTTTATGACTACATCCTGCATCTGTCATACAAATGAATGCTGTCCACACATGCGGCAGGGTTTTTTTTTTACTTGTATCATGTTCTCATGCATTTTTTAGTAACTTTTGCGCCGTCTACAAATGTTTGGCGTCTCTTAGCTGTTTTTTTTGTAAAATTACTGTTAAGTCAATGTATACCTATTAAAAATGAAAATTTATCGAATCAAACATAGTCAATAAGCCATAAATTATTATAAATGTTACCCGTAATATATAAACAATGTGTTTTATTCATAAAGGTTCAAAGACCGATTAGGTTAGGTTACGTGATAAATCTGTTACTTATATAGGTAGGTATTTATTTCGCATGTAATCGCATCATATGAATGTTAATTAAGGACTGACAGGATATAGTATGGAAAAAATATTGGTAAGTATAAAATTCATAATTTTTTATCAATTTAATAATTACATTCAAGAATTCCTAGATCAGCGTAATCGGAGTCAGGTGCGTGCCCTCATAATGTGTGTAAATTTACGTCACAAACTAACATGCAAATTACAAACAGTGCCGTCAGACACGTCATTTATGAGATCTTTGGTTTCTTAACACATTTGCGGCTTCTTGGTTATCACAGATCCATTTCTTCTTGATAGTCATCAGCCGACAATCAACTTTCGGACACCGCCTTGTCAGTTGCTTAATGCTCATCTTTGAACTTCAGTAGTAGATGAATGAGACAAGTCCATTCGAAATCGGATCTTATTGACCAAGATAAGGACAAATTTAGCTATTTAACATGCGTGCAAGCAAGAGCGGCGATATTGTGTGGACAACCGGAATTACTGCTGCGTTTTGTTTTGAGACGGCTCGCGGCCGGTCCACCGTCAGCCGTCGCCACTCGCCGCCCGCCGGTCGGCCGTCCAGTTGCATAGTGAGCGGCGTTAAAGTTGCTCGCATTGTCATTTTCGCGCTAAAATGTTTTTCCGTTTCGAAACGCGCCGCGACACAATCGTTTCTTCGATAACATCTTAAATGCGATATTGCCGCGTGATAGAGATAGTGACGTCCTAATTTTATTTTATTACGTTATAATTCATTGACCATGTAAATCGTTCGCGAAATAAAGCGGGCCGCTTATGTTGTAACAAAAAGAAAACAGATATTCTGGGAATGCCCACATGTGGTAAACTGCTAACAGCGGCTGCGTTTGTTAAAGTGTCACGATGCCGAGAAGAAATAAATGGATGCATCTGGTGGCCGGAGTCATAGCCGGAGTTACGCTTGGAGTATTCTTAAAATTATGCTTAAGACCTTCCTCTCGGACGTCTATTGAGACATGTCCGGAAGCTGCAAAATTATACGCTCCCCCTGACCCATTAGCGGTGATAGGCTTGACGGCCGAGGAAACGATACAAAACTCAAATAGAACTTTAGTGTTTGTGGGTGTGATGACTGCGGAACAGTATTTGAATACGAGAGCAAAAGCAGTTTACGACACGTGGGCTCAGGACCTTCCGGGCCGATTAGCGTTCTTTAGTTCTGAAGTGTCGCGAGCTCCTGGTTTGCCCTTGATACCCTTGCGCTATGTCGACGACAGCTATCCTCCTCAGAAGAAGTCGTTCCTAATGTTATTGTACATGTACGAAAACTACGGAGAAAGGTTCGAATGGTTTATGCGTGCGGATGACGATGTATACGTGCGTGGTGACAAATTAGAAGAATTCTTGCGCTCCGTGGACAGTAGAAAGCCGCAGTTTATCGGTCAAGCGGGAAGAGGTACCACCGCTGAAAGAGATGCACTGGCTCTCGACTACAATGAAAATTTTTGTATGGGCGGGCCTGGAGTGCTTATATCAAGAGAAACTCTTCGAAGAGTGGCGCCTCACGTCAAATACTGCTTGAAGCACCTTTATACTACTCATGAAGATGTGGAACTCGGAAGATGTGTTGCGAAATTTGCCGGAGTTTCCTGCACATGGAGCTATGATGTAAGTCGATGTAATACAATGCTTAATTGTTGTAATTTAATATTCTGTAACATGATTTTGAGTTTGTGCTGATAGTGCGATTAGGTTACTTTACTATAAGCCTATTTCGAGGCTTTATGACTAGTTAAAGAAATATCTATATTTTAGAAATATTTATTTGTTGTGCCAAGAAACCAGTTTCTTTACTCTGTGAAGGAGAGAATTAAGGAACCCTGTGACCTAAAGGAAATCATAACGTCGATAAACGTTTATGACAATGAGTTGATTACTATGTCAGATATATTTTTAAATACACAAGTTGGTCTACACTAAGTAGACAATAGTTTAACATAAAACAAAATAAATGTATAAAAATTTTAGCCCCATCTCAGACCAATATACAATTTTCGCCTCCGAGCTCCATGGGTCGGCTGTTGCTAAACGGTTGAAAAGTCAGGATGGGTTTGATTCACCGCAAGTTCGGAAGAACTGCCTTCTCATGCGTAACTAACAATTTACATTTTAAGGTAAACTTCATTAAATTACTTGTAAATGAAAATAAAGGCAGTACGCCCTATAAATCATACTATTAAGGTTTTTTTTATATAATAATTAATAAAAAATGGATGACAATTAGTAAAGATGGTTGGCTTTCTCAAAATGAATGTCGGTAACCTACAGTTATAAAACAAAAATAGCGTCACATCGT